CGCTGAACCTGGATGCTAGAGGGAGGCATATCACTACGCACTTCACTACCCGCAATCTGGTTGACTTACCCATAGGCATTACTATGGAGATGATTCAGAACTGCATTAAAATGACACTCTCCAATGAGGAAAAAATTCATAGGAGCGAGCCTTGCATTCACACTAGCCACATCCGACCCGAGATCAAGTGCATTTTCCTGATCTTAGTAGCACACTCTGTACTGAAACTAGGTAGCTGGCTCAAGAAGGCTAGGCTGGACCTGCTCAAGCACCTGTCACTCCATGAGTTTGAGTTCCAGAGGAACCTGCAAATAGTAAGAATTTTTCTTTCTTGTATCCCACTGGCAGACACAGGAAAAGGATCAATTTAGAGGATTCAGGGGTAGACTGGAAGTGCAGCTATCGATGAGCTCCACACTGACTCAGAGCAATCCAATACTAGTATAGTTACCCTCTCCAGGCCCAACATAATAGAGTCCATCCATGCTATTAGGTTGGACAATGTCGTCACAGGTGGCATCCACTTCATGGTCGAAAAGAACAAGGTGATTAGGGAACGGCTGACTGAGGATATGATCTGGCTGCAAGAAGGTGCCTGCAACATCAGTATCTTTGAGGAACACTATCTCCTTAAGGCATGTGTTAAGTGTTTGGAGACCCACCATTTTGTGGTAACCCATTGTTATCCTCCATACTGTCAGTTGTGTTTTGAAGTACATTTCTCTCAGGAACATATCTGCTGCAGGCTCACTTGTCCTAGAGGTTTTGGCCAGGCCTGTGGACTTACCAGAAGGCAATGTTGGCTCTGTAACAGGATGGATCACTTTGCAGGAGATTAACATTGCCCAAGTATTAAGTGATTGTCCCCCACTCCAACCTCCTCACTACTAAGGCAGGAGACAGCTCTACCTGTGGAGCCCACCAAGGAGCAAGGACAATAGGACGGACAGGCAAGAAAGAGCCAAAGAAGATGCCGCAGCCATGGAAGATCTCCCACATCCTGGCTCGTTGAGATCACTAGTGAGAAAGAACATGATGAAGCCCCCCACTATAACTCAAACAAGTCCAAGGATAAGGAACCAGAATATTCCTCGCCCTCCCCTTTCCTTGCACTTGGAATTTTGGAAACCACCTCTACCACTAAACAGAGCTAAAAAGATACTTTCTAGACTGCTCGGGATTAGAATTACAACTCCCACTTTTCCTCTGGCTCCTGCAGCCCAAGTAGATCAGTTGAAGCCCTCTTTTAATACTTATAACAACAATAGCATTGAATGTAAGAAAGAGTAGTCGGAATCGGGTACAGGTATTTAATTTGTTTTCCTTTGTTGATTTGTTTTTTATTATTGAACCTCCCATTGATTTGGAGGAACAACATGTATCTATAGATATTGATGGGTGGGGTTTGTTTTCCTTTGTTAAAGGGTCCAAGGTTGAGGTATTTGTTCGTTCCCATATTGGTTGAATTTTTGAAATGATTGGGCATGGGGAAGGTAGTGCTCATGTTGGATATTGGTAGAAAGAAATGAAGAGGATACTTGCTGGAGTATATTGTATGTTAACAAAATGAACCACGATTCAATAATCAGTGGCAACCCACTCCTCTTCATCATCCCACACTCTTAGTAGTACCTAAAGAAATTGCTCTAAGTCAACCAAGAAGAAACCATTCTGCTCAATTCTTTTTTTCAATAAACTATGCCTCCTATTCTTAGCAGTCACGCCAAAAAACCTATTCCCTCCACACATTACTCTGAGTTTACCAGGGGGAGGATTCTCAGGTTACACAAGCCTCAGATGAGATATCAGCAAATTTCCCACTACCTTAATATCCCTTACACTACTGTCAGAGACACAATTGCAAAGAAACATCAAGAGGGCAAGGAGAATAAGGATAGAGGAAGACATCCTAAAACTACCAAGTCACAGGATGATGCTATGGTGGTGGAAGCTCTTAAAAATTGCCATATTACCTATTCTGACATTGCTGAACAAGTTGCTCCCAATGTTTCTAGTAAGACAGTAAGGAGAATACTTGAAAAAAAGCATCTTAGAAAGTGGATGGCACAAGAGAGAGTTTATTTTCATGAGAATCTAGCTCAAGAGAGGTTGGAATGGGCATTAGCTCATAGGCATTGGACAAAGGAGATGTGGAGAAGGAAGGCAATGTGGGGGGATGAGGTAGCTGTGGAAAGGAGAGGAGGAAAGAGGAAAAAATGAGTTTTCAGATACCCATATGAGAAATAGAATAAGGATTGTGTTGAACCTAAGGCTAGGAGAGGGGAGAGAGGGATTAGCCAGATGATGACTGGTTGCTTTTATAGTTAAACTCATGCTTTTTTTTTACCTGTTTTTCCTGATCCTTCTTCTGCTAGGAGTAGAGTTACTGGGAAGTCAATTATTGATGTTTATGATCATTATGACTTTCTAGGGATATGGGAGAATATCAGAGAAAAGGCTGGAGAAGAAGAGGTATTTTTTATCATTGACAATGCTAAGACTCACTTGCCTTTTAGGAGATGGCTCAGAGGGCAAGGAATTACACTGATGGAAATTCCTGCCTATTCACCAGATCTCAATCTAATTGAAAATATTTGGTCTCTGGTGAAAGGTAAGCTTCACAAGCACTACCCTGATCTATATCTTATGAAGGGTGATGTCAATTTGGTCAAGAAGGCAATAGTAGAGGCCATCACTCATTGTTGGGAACTTCTTGACCCTAAGGTTTTTGATACTTTAGCTGGATCAATGGTGGATAGAATAGAGGCAATTATTAAGGCTGATGGATGGTATACCAAATATTAATTTCTACTATGTATTTACATCTTTTAATTTTTTTTTTTTTGGTTTTCATGATAGTGGATTGGTGGGTGAGTGTGGTTGTCATCACCGAAGATTTTCCTCTGTTGAATCACGGTTAATTTTGTCCACGCACAATACCATCGAAACCTTCCTGCTAGCCTCCCCAGCCTTGTCACTCGTAAACAAATTACATCCTTGCTGGCTTGACCCATATACCCAGTAACCCGTACTATTTACAGATTGTAATAAATTAGTAAGAGAACTGCATTATTTGTATTTATTTACTCGCCCTAATGGTGCCAGGGATGGCCTTCCTTGTTACCATATGCCGGTTCACGTAGGGCACAGGTCTAGTGAATGCGGAAGATCAACTCTCATCCCGACAGCGTTGTTGTTTTTTGTAGCACTAGTCTAACAGTAGTTCACCATCCTCCTACATTTACTGGTGCTTTGCCCACAGCAATTTCACTCTCACTGCTTCATCCTTCAGTGCTTTCAATAGGCTTCCTTGGTATAGATATTTCGGAGGATTTTTCGCACTGATTCCTGAAGTGTACAAGTAGGAAATTTCCAGACGCTATTGCTTTCGAGGCACACGCCAAGAGAACGGTTTGTATGGGAGACTTACATTGCAACATTGGTGATCCATCTCCAATATGTTCAACCTGGTTACCTGGATATGCGCTTCCGGAGATGGGGGAAGCCGTTTGCCGAACCAGAGATATAAACACATTGTATTTTTTTAGATCTAACCCCAAGGCCATCTTCTCCTCTCTGATCCGCGAGACAAAAACATCGGTTTCGGTGTGCCCCCGCCTACTCCCTCCTCTACCGCGTTCACCCAATCGCCGGGGAAGCAGGGGTGTGAGGGTTAGGTGTGTGCAGCGTGCAGCGCGCCCGAGTGAAAAGGTGTGAGCATTAGCTATAAATGAGAGGAATGTTGTTTCCCACTTCTGATACTCCAAGTACTTATGGTGTGCGCAAAAGTCTGTCGAACCTTACTCTCATACCAGCTATCTGCGCACAAAGCGGCTGGGTTTCCTCGCAAGTTGGTGATGGGATAGAGAGCCTGATGGAATGCTTCCCCCTAGGTAGAGAATATTGTTTGATATTTTGTGATGGAAAAAAGTCTGTCGAACTCTTGGCGTGGTGCAAGAACCAACAACCGTTCCCTGAGTGGTCGAGAAGGCCATAGAGCCAATCGGAGGAATCAGAGAAAGTTCGACAGATTCACTCACAATCCCCCGTACATGAATCGCTGACGTAGGAGGACATAATCATTGGTTTTTCTCTCGCTATTTCTCATTGTTTCTGTTTAGATCTCGTAAATGGCACAGCCACCATGAGCAAAACCTTGCATGCAAGCCCTATGAGGTTCCACTCCCCGTTGGCATTTGCGTGGTCTCTGCTTGGTTGAATTTATGTGTCGATTGGCCTCGCAGACGAAAGCAAGGATACTCGTCGGCGAATGTTGTAATCAAAAAACAAGCTTTGCCCCAAGCCCCCCGAGACTCCGCTGATGCACCTCCCTTTTTGTGTTTCTCCCCTTCCCACACTGCGGATCCGGGAACCTCACCTTCCGTCCTAGTGCTAGGACTATTACCTATTGCTAAGGTTATCCCGAGAGGTTCCAGATTAATCTTACCGTAATTCTTGTCTATCAGGTAACTTAGCTCTTCCAGTTGGCTTCCTATCCGTATCAGCCTCTCCCCCCATCCCTTCTTCTTCACTTCTAAAGTTCAACCCCAAACAGAAAGACGATTTTAAAAAAAGAAGGGACCTCTGTTGCGTTGCTGGTCCTAGGGATCGATTTCTTGGACATTATTACTTCTCTAACACCTATCATACTCCCAATATATTGCGGTACCTGAGGTGTTTCTTTCGAGACGTGACATAATATCCAACCTCCAAGGCATTGGGGAGAATAAGCAAAGAAAGGGCAGAAGAACGGTATTCCCAGATACGAGCGGGAGATTGATAGCGACCTACCATCTGCTCTCTTGATTCCTCACGTTGAATAATTAGGGGATATACGCTAGCCATTGGTGAGAAATGTAGGGCTGACATATGAACAACTTTCTGCACGCCGCACCCAGCCACGATGGAGGAGATGTGAGATCCAGCCTGCATTCAGTAGGAATTATGCGAACTCATACAAGTAGCTGTAGTTTTCTCCTATTTCTTGATTAGAGAGGAGGCGAGGCTGAGAGACATAATTGTGAAATAAAGCAACTCCACTGCCCCGACTTCTCTCAATCTTGAAGTCCCCTGCCATCCTGTTTGATCAAGGACCTGACGCAGATGAAACCTTCAATGCGCGAAATCCACATTAAAGCCTTCGTTACACCAATTTTGCTTTTCTCATGTCTTTCACCCTTGCTATCTCCTGTGTTCTCCCTGCCCCTCAGTTCGACAGAACTACCAACGCTTCTCCCTCCCGTTACCGCCAACAAAACCATACTCTGCGCTCCTATCCAAACGGATGCGCCAGAGCCGCCTCTCAATGTTCCACTACCATCGAAGGTAGAGGCTGCCACCTCCCAAATTAACGGTATGAGTATTTTTTGGATTATAATGCCCTTGTCCATGGCATGTATGACCCATCCGATCGGTTCAGCCTTTGGACTCGAGCCCGCCTATCGCCATCGAATTCGGATTGGACCGCTCATATCGCTATTTGACACTTTACTCCTACTATACGAGATACTCGACCACTGCAGAAATACAGGAGATGTCATCAGCGCAATCTGCCGTATTCCCAATTCTACCCAAAAGGTGGTAGAAATGCGTCATCGTACGAGAAGGGACCACAACGACTGCGACCCACAGGGCGGTCCGTGGACTGTGACCTTACTCGGCCGCTTTGAGACCTGTCTCTATAACACTCCAATCAGGCACCTGCTCTCCGTTGTGTTGATATTGCAGTATGTGAAGCTTTGTGGCTTCCATGGCATTCCAATGTCTTTCTCTCTGGGGACTGGATATTTCGCTTCATGGATTATCATGGAAATGATCCTGCTAATCGGTGAGGGCCTCGGTGGGGGCCGTGCTACGACGGAGCCCCGCCAGAGGGTCCCTCTGGGGTCATCTCAGAGCGAGACGCCGACTATTCTAAAATCAGTCGGAAGAGCTGTATTTTTGCTTCAGAGCATCACGATCCTCACCGGGGTGTACAAGTTGCTCTGGAAAACGCAGAATGACTTCAAGCTTCTGCCAAGGGACGGAGAAACGGTCCCAAGTTTCATTCTCCGCCTCGCCGCATTTTTGACCATTTCGTCATCGCTCATGTACTGGGCCGACAGCATGCCCCTGTTCATCGGGATCTCCCTCATGTCTGGACTCCAGGCCCCGGGCCACAAAGGTGCGACTGGGGTCTCCAATTTTATCGGTCTCCTCATGGCCATCATGTACGTTACCATTACCACCACTGTGTTCTACAGCGGTTGGGTTTTCGGAGCAGCTCACCTTCCATTCGTATCTTATATCGCGTTTGTCTATGCATCTCGTTTGCTCTGGAAAGGGGAGGGGTGGGAGGGGTGTCTGTCTATGGCGCGGCTCGAGCCTGTGCTAATTTTTGGCAGTTCGGCTTTTACGTATGCCGGAGGATTGCTCTTCTTTTATTTCTTCGTTTTCAACCCGGAGGGGACGTGGAGGGCGGCTTGGACGGAAAGTTTGCCGTGATAGATGGAGGGCGCAATATAGAATAGACTGGGTGTAGTTAGCATTATATCATAGCCGGGATAGCAAGAGAAGGGGCTATGCCAGAACGCTTATTTTTGATGCTGCCCCTACCCTCAGTGCAGGTCATCCCATTTATCCCTGGTGTGTTGTGTGGAGACACCGCCAAGGGATATGAACCGGAAGAGTCTTAAACATTTCCTTTTCCTCCTTGACCACAAATATGATACAAATGGATTTTTTATTGATAACACGTTTCAACTTCCTAGGTCTACACCAGGAAAACATAAATCACCTGTTGAAGGTTAACCGTAAATTGAGACACGGTCCACGCTACAGGGCTAAATCACCTCTCACATTGATACACACGATATCATCACGGGCAGCAAGCTGTCTCGCCCGACCAATATTGGAGAGACTCCGGCAAAACTACCAGCATCAGCACCCGACTTACCATAGGTATACTACCATCACTCTCATATTGTAGGTAGTGCCTTAGGTTTGGGACAAGATCAAATGGGATTAAGAGTGTAGTCACGGACTATTACTCGAAAACATGGGTGTATTGGACCCAATCCAAGACTAATCCGAGCTTGCGACTACCGTAAAAGCTCGAATATACCGAGAAGTTTCTGCCACTCCCCAACCCAGGGAGGGGGGAGAGAGGCAGCGTCCTTTCATGGCCCCCTACCCCCCCCTCTCAGAAGGAAACTTTGGACTTCATGTAACACGATCCAATTATTCGAGTTTTTACGGTTAGCAAGGCCCGACCTTGGGGTACAAAGCGCCAAACGTAGCAAAGAAGTCAAGTCATAAAGGGAGCAATTGCCATAGCGAGCAATGTAATATGCTATAGATCAATCTAGGATTTTCGGCATTTTAAGAGATGTTGCATGAAGTCAGGCTGGTTTCAGCGGTTTTCTATGATAATATCATAAGAAATATGATAATTATATTATTATCCCCCTTCATCCGGGTTCGGGCGAAACCCGGCACCCCAAGACGACGGAAAAAATACAATTCAAAGAACCCCCTGAACCGTTCAGTAAACGGCTTTTACGCCCGCTAATAGCACACATACCCCTGCGCGTCAATATCCAACCCATGAGCCCTAGTACCCTTAAGATGCTCAGGAGTATCGTCCTCACCGATGTTGGCAGCAGCACTCATACTGGCAACCTCGGTGGTGGCTGCTGCCGCCTCCAGCCCCGATGACTTACACCTCCTCTTCTGCCCAAGATGCTTCCCGATCTCGGCCGCCTGCCCAGTGAGCCTGATCTGGATAGCATCAGCGAGCTGACTACCCCAGGTAATCTTGTTACCATTGGCATCCTTAATGGCGGAGACATTGTACCCGTAGGATTTGGGAACTTCGAAGACAGCACGGACCCAGTGTGCTGGGCGGCCGCGGGAGGAATCCGCCGGTGTGCCGCGGGTGAATTTCCAGAACTTTTGGACGTCTTCCTCGTCCGGTGCCTCGAATTGACTGCCATCGAAGGAGTCGATGTAGAGACCCACCGGGTCCGCCAGCGTTAGGAGGGGCCCTTGCCAGGCGAGGTCATTCACATTTCCGCCGATCTGTGGAAAAGTTAGCTTGGCGCTGAGGGATGGGTGTGTTTTGGGGGGGTGGTAAGGCTTACGGTTGGGTCGGAATTCCGGTAGATGCCGCCGTATTGACTGCACCTGATCAAGCGATCGTAATCGTGAATAGGGTTGCCCTGAGAATCCACACGGAGAACGGTTGCGTCTGCGCCGAGTTGGATTTCAGCTTGAAGTGTGTTCGCGCCCTGGATCAAATGCATTATTGAGCCGGTGGTTGTGTTGTTGTTCCATTTGTTCTTGCGATTGTAGCGGAGTGACTTATTGATGTAGAGGTCTTCACTCTTGATCTGGCTGGCGTATTCTGGGTTGTTTTCTTTGTAGAGTCTCAGGAGGGTGTCGGGTTGGAAGGTTGCTAATGCTTCCCAGTACTAATCCACTCTTTCAATGCCTATATCACCTAGGATGGTAGGAAGGGGGGATGATACATACCTCAGGACCCTCACAAGTAAACACAACCTTCTTGATCTCCCCTTTCCCATTCCGGAGAACGGACCACTCGCAGTACTCGTCTTGATTGTCCCTGGTGGAGTCCGCGACCCTCCATCTTTCTTTCTCGGGGGTGTTGTGCTTCACAGTGTTTGGAAATGCCGTCCAGGTAATTATCTTCGTGTTTATTTCACCCTCCGTTGCGTGGGTGGTGGCATTGTAGAATTGGGTGACTTCCGCGGTGGAGGCGCTTTGGTCCATCCAATTGCTAATGTAGTCTTTTGACCATTTGCTTGCATTCTCCTTGGTGAGGTCGGTGAGGTAGGCCGGGGGATTGAAGTACTTAAGGGTAGTCATAGCTGCTTTTGATAGTGGGGAAAAGTGAGGTGTATATTTGTATGGGCGAGTTTTTTATGAAGAAGTATTTGAGCTGGTGACTTGAGTGAGATAAGGGGGGACAAGTGGGGGACCTTGGTGTTTATATATCGTGAGCGAGTATCCATAGAAGACTTTAATATCTCAGAAGTTCAGTCGTCTCGCTTACTTGCATACAGGCAAATCCCTACCAACCCTCATAACAGTTGCTTCAGGTCCAATTACGTACATATCATTAGCGCATTTACGGGGACATTCTCAGCTTGTTTCAGCCCGGAAACCCTTGAATATCGTGACGGAAACTTTGTGTCGTGATCACCCAGAGCTTCGAGGGATTTTTCTCAGTCCGTCATAGAGTCGACCGAGAGATGCGTCAAGCCTGCTTTCTTTCGCAGGGATATTAACGTCAGCCATTGATGGCCCTCGTTCGAATCTAAATTTCAGATGGCAGAAGATTGCGATTACCGCAAGCAAAGCTATCCAGAAAGGCCCTAGACTATGGGACGTACCGGTACTCTACGGTGCGTCCTCGAGACGGCCCGGCAACGTTCCATGCAATGCGACAAAAATTCAGATAATTGAACAGTGTGCTATGTCGTTCGAGTTGCCCCCTCTGGCAAGGTCTGGGAAGGGGTTTTTTTTTTTTGCTTTTTTATGTCTCTAACAGGGAGGGGCTGAAGGGCATACCTTTTTCCTAGATTTTCGACCCCTCTCCAGAGAAGGAAATTTTGGACTACCGAGCACATGGTCCAATTATTCGAGATTCTGCGGCAGCCTACGAGTAGTTAGCAAGGTGTCGGCAGTGGAGTCCCAGTTAGCCCGAAAGTGACGATAGCCAACCGGGATGCCCGGGAGCATTGCATGATACTGGACGGTAGATGATGACCTACCGCACTCGAGCGCTCATGTAGCATAACCATCACCGGATGTTCAAGCCGTTGGTATCGGTATCGGCCTTCTTCCCCTTTCCCTCCAACCAGGCCCGTTGGGACCTCACTCTGCGCGCTCATTAGAGGAGGCTTAGGTGATCGGATCGGAAGCTTACAAAATTCGGCAAAGATATGCGGAATCCTAATGAGCTCATACCATCCCACCAAGGCCCTTGTCTGTCAGATTTGCTATATATGAGCGTTTAATCTATGATAGTAAGTCATAAGGGATCTTCGAGCGGCCCCAATCGGTTCAGATGCTAGACGGAATCGTTCGCCGGGGGCCAGTGCATACGAACAACTCACGATTCGACTATCAACAGAAAACTGATAGACTACTTGAGTGCAGTACTCCACTGCAGCCACCCCACTCTGTTGTGATGAATACCTTACGGTGCTCGCAGAACCATCGACGAAAACGGCGCCCTACAGGACGAGAAAGCGAGCTGAACCCCCAGAAGATCAGCAAGGAGAGAAAAACCACAAGACTCCCGCCCCACTCCCGAACAATCCAAAATGAGTGGTAAATGCTACAACTGTCACAAAAATCCTATCAAGTCAGCTACTGCGCGGTATCTTACCGTACGCAGATAAGAAGCAGAGCAAAAAAGCCGTCATTCTCCCCCGGAAATGCTTGATGTTCAATTACAGTTGGGTTTTGACCAGGCCTTGGCGTTGCACATGCGGCAGTTTCTGTTCTATCTTTGGTGAGGGTTAATTACTGAATTGGTTGTTCCTCGCCTCTTGAACAGGTGGGGAATGGGAAGCAAACCTTTCGGATACTGCACAGTACCATCGGCCGGGAAATATACACCCGTATCCGCAAAGTTCTCGCACCGCAGCACCCGAGGTATCCACCAACCTCAGCCCTAGGGACGACTCCTTCGGAAAGTCATTCTCAATCTATGAGATCATAATTATGATAGTATGATATGATATCCTGATGGCAGATTTAATAGGGGCTATTCGTATTCTTTTTTCCCAAGTAAATATCATAGCTTCCGCAATCCTTCAGTTGAAGATTTCCAAGACTTTGCCATGCATTAGACCGGTATGATACGAGTACAGTACCAGACTTTAATCAATATAAATCTATCCTAACCGATACCAATCCGGCCTCAGATGGTACTAGAACTTTGCGGACACAAATTTCCCCATCGAAAAAGTGTCACACTTCGTCTATCACAAAATGGTGAAGAAATAGGCAAAAAATAACCTGGTTAATGAGCCGTTGGATTTTTTATTTTTTTATTCTATTTCTATGTCAGTCGGCCCTCGCTTTATGATGTTTCGTGCGATGAGCTGCGCCAAGAATTCCGAGGAGACCACTAAAACTTTCACTCAGAAATTAGAGGGGGGTAAATGGTATCCAGGAGCTTCGGGTTATGATATTTTCAACTGTTTCCCCTCGCAATCTCCCTAAATTCCCCTGGGTTATCTGAGGAATAAAGGGATTGTCGACAGTCTGCGAGTACCCCCTATCTGTTGTTACGCGAAACCTTTTAGATGGCATGCATTGGCCAAGAATGGTGCGGTATCCGAGAGGTACGATATGCACAAGAATGCATGGTATCGAAAAAGATTTTCTCGTGGAGAAATATCATATGATACTTATTTTGGTTCGAGGTTTGTGCAAGCGGTAAGAGTAGGTCGGGGGGCTTCAGCCCTGCGCTGATTCTCGGAAAGGGTTAATGTCAGGGAAGACGAATTCAGGCGGCCACAGTGCTTGAGGATTTGCAAGATGCGGGGTCTCGGGTTGAGGTTCGCTAATGCAGCTTTAGCCCGATAAGGCTATCGCAAGCAGTCCTTGGGCTACGTCGGTGTGGTGGTCCGGCATAAATTGCGACTTGGGGAGATTTTATATCCACCTTACTATAATAGTAGTTTACCCTCGATTAACGCCTGGGCGGGTCAATTCTTCCCAGCCAACAAGTTCAACTCCAAATTACGGCAGTGAATGGGAAAGGTAGATTCCGACCGCTATCAATGCCAAAGTATCATAAGAAATCATACGGACCCTAGAGCTTGGATCTTCCCCTCCAGTTCCCTCTCTTCACTATGAGTGGAGTCCCGCTAACAGCATTTTTAGCCATCACTTAAACTCGAATATTTGAATATAATGGCTGAAGTGGGGGGCAAATACTTACTGGTCTCTAGTCCGCGCAATACAGGTCACTAAAACATTGCAGATAGTAGGATCCACTAAAAGGACCCTCAACCCTTCTCAGCTGAGAAGATGAAAAAGGCTAGCGGGGCCCGCAGGGAACACTCCCTCACGACAGGTTTTCCAAAGCAACGCCTCCACTGCAGCTCTTTCGCCCTTATCTGCACTCTTTACCCCTCCCCTCCTCCTCTTTCTCCTCCTCCTTTCCAATATCCTCGATGTCCGATTCCACAAGGCGTACTTTGTAACACCAAACCGAAGGTGAATTGGCAACCGGAGACGCTCCCGGCTTATTCCCCGGAACAAACTTTCCAGATGATTCTCCAGTTAGACAAGGAGAGCAGTCTTTTAGGCACGGGGTGTCGTGTCTCATGCTTCTCATCGCCATCATATCATCGAGGTCTTACCATTTTCCTGCTCGCTAGTCGAGACGGCCAGCATAACACAGATGTGAGACACTACGAGCAGCGCAGAAGGAAATGATTTGGGTAACATAAAAACCACCGCCAATGCAGGCGCTAGAGGGGCTTTTCTGGTAAGGCACACGGAATAACTTAAATTCTCCGGAAGTGGGGTAGGCTGTGATTTCCCCTCACCGATCACTCAACTTGCCGATCTAACACACGGTAAGTGTTCAAGCGCTGTAGCTACACTACTCTTATAGCTGAAGCATTGCTTCTAAGGATGGAGTTCTGTATGTCTCGTCCCTCAATCCTTTACTATAGAGAGGGAGGGAGGCGGGGGGGGGTAAAGTGAGCGGGAAAGAATCTGCGGGGCATGGTGCCCAAAGATCTATGTTTGGGTGACACCGATTGTAACTGTACTGTACTTGTAAGGTACGGCAGACCCACGAGACTACAGATACTCGAGTACTCGAGTACTCGTAGGGCGTGGTGCTACAAGTATAAGATTTAGAATGACCGAGCCTCCACGCTAAAACTTCCAGAATTCCCCTCTTTGGATAAAGCGGGGGGAATCGCGCCGAAAAAGAAAAGAAAACTAACTTTCAGCCCCGGCGGAAACAAAAAAAAAATAACAGTGCTTGCTAGGAGGGGAAACTCCAACTTCTTAGCGGAAGGCTCAATTCCTCTAGCGCCGTACTCGAGTACTGTACTAAGTAAGGGTATTCAAAGTTGAAAAGATGATTTTTCAGTAATGAGTAAACACGGGAAGTTGCATTAGGTTACCTTATGGTGTTAGCCAATAGCATCCGCACATTTTGGGTAGCATATTTGAGTGTATTGAGGCACAGTAGCTGAGGGTAAAGTATAGATATTTTCACCGATCTTACCAATACCATAAAATCTCTGTTATTGTTAAGGCAAAGCCAAAATAAAGAGTTTTATTGCTAGAGAAAGTAGAGAATTATTTTCAATGTATGCTCTAATATTTTAGAATTTTCTTCTGATTCCTAAAAAAAATTATTTTCATATTATGTATCAAGTCTAGGCTCTGGTAGAGTTCAGTTAAACTGTAGATACGGACCTCTTGAAGTCCATATCTACTCAAAAAAAAAGTATGGTATGGTAAAGTAAAGTAATGGTAAATTAACTGTTTCTGGGTGTGCCAAGCTTACATGAAACAGTGATGTAAGCTAAGTTTTTTCAAGTTTTTCAACTTTGAATACCCTTAGTACTCGCACAAGAAACTCTACTCGAGCGCTCGAGTATTATACAAGTCGCAGCAACCCCCCCAATCAGCTCTAACGATAAACGAGTGCAGATCCAGCTAGACGATTAGCCAAAGGGCTACGGCACCCCCCTCCCTAAGCTGTCAATTGAGCGTTTTTATTTTCAAGCTTGATTTATTCCTTCCTATCCGATCTTAGCTTAATCAGCGTTTATTTTATCCTATTATTGGTCAATTGCATTGCAGATCTTCGTGTTTCGATCTTCAATAAACTCTTTCTCTGCACCGAACTCACCAGGGTCTGCATGCCCGTACATGCCCGTATGTATTTACGAGCATCCATGTTACGCAGAGACGGGAAGACTCTTTGTTCGCAAGGGATTGAATGACCGAATGATTGATTTTTCTTTTCTTTTTTCCTCTGTGCCCCATCGACTGTACGGTGCTTGAGCAGCTCAGCTGAGCTTAGAAGATGTCATCCGAGTTAGCCTACATAGCACACTCCTACGGAACGTGTAGTTTATGCGGTCCTAATGGGGGCGCCTCATCTGCCGTAGGGGGAGATGGGGATCAACACTTTCTTGCGGATTAACAAAAATTGGGAGCAGTGGATCGGCACGGGTTCGGTACAACCTGTCTAGGTTTGCGAAGGCTGGAGCTAAATTACTAGAGCAGTGATACGCCGTGATCTACCGAACAGCTCCCCAGTTTTCCATGACGGCTGCTCTTTACTACATTTCCGTGCCATGTTGGGGTGGTGTATATGGGGTAAGGCACTCGTTCTCGTATGCCTAACTGTAACAACTTCAGCCTAGAGTTCCCGGTTTCAACGAGGAGCCAATTATTTCACTTATCTAAAGGGCATTTCCAGCTCTATAATCTCCACCCCCAGGGTTCCCCCCATCCAGCCTTCCTCCGCTCAATTACCGATACCTCAAACCATCATGCCATCCCAAATATACGCTCTGATTGAGGGTCGCGACCTTGCCCCCAGACTCATCGAAGACCCTGTGGCCGCTGGCCTGACAGATTGGTTCGGAAAGTATCTGGTCGACAACGAAAATTCTCAGTACCCTATTACCTTTAGAAGTCTCCTTACAGACACTATCCCTCATAAGACTTGGGTTCCTTTCGCAGTCGGTGATGGAACATATCTCGAGTATAGGCCCGAGAATGCAAACATCTCTCGAGATTTGAGGTTTGTGGTTGTGGCTACTCCCACGAGTCCGTCCACCACTAACCCACGGGGGTGGCCGGAGGATGCTATCGTGGCAGACGTGAACCACATCCAGCCGGAGGCGTTTAAGAGAAACATGCCGACGTTGTTCGTTGTTGGGAGCACGGCCTTCGACAGTGAGACGGCTTTCTTGCAGATGGCAAGTTGGGAGCCGACCTCCGGGCGCTTGAACTTTTATCAGGTGTGATACCTTTCTTCCGTCTCCCCTTGGTAATTATTCAGACCATGCTAAAATTGCCGTGTTTGCGTGCAGCGCGATATAAAATTTACCAAACAGTCTGAGAAATACCCCAGCTGGTTATACCTAGGTTCCTCTGGTGATGCGTTCGAGCCAGATACACGAGGGAAGGGGCCATTCGACGGACACGTCAATGGAACCCTTGTCATGAAGGAGCTCAACTTCCCATGGGTCCATTGGCATAGCATGAAGTTCAATATCTCCCAGACATTCCCACCAGATTCACCTATCCGTACCGAACCATTACTCCACCCTTCAAACAATCTCAACAGCTTCGACTTCCTTGCCGGCGCGGAACGCTTGGAGACAATCGTTAAGAAGGCAGCAGACAAATGGTAATTCCTCCGCGATGGGCAATCCAGAGCTTGTTCTAAAGTGAAATTTCTTACAGGTTTACTGCGCGAGAGCGAAAGGACTTTGGCCCTATCAATGCGCCTAACCCAACAATCACCCACGTCCGGGACTGGGTTCAGCACATCCTAGATACGACCACAATAAATATTACTGCAGCAGGCGTCAATTCAGAGGTAGTCATCGCAGACGAAGGTGATTTCTGGACGCCACCAGGGATGTTCTACGATTCCCAGGCTCTAGAGAATGTTGTTAAATCTCTTGGCACGACTGGCTTCGAGGTAAATTGTACCCTTTCGATCGATCGGTAGCGTGAGCGACGCGCGCTAATATTACTACGAGCAGATACCCCAACTTGGCCCCGTTTCATCCAAACACTATAACGCTACCATCCAGAACAGTGGCTTTGCGCTAAAGACGCTCGCTAATTGGACGCCGGAGGTGGTGGCGTTTGATCACGAAGGGCAGGTGCGTAATATTAACCCTGTGCACCCTTGTCTAATGACAGCGAAGCTTACCACCATTACAGTCCCCATGGACGATTCTAGTTACAAGCCTAGAAGATTACCAAGGCTATCTAAGTGTCAGAGATTCGATGCTATTGGATCACAAAACACTGTCCTCATTATTGATGGTAGACTTTTAGTGAGTCATCCCCCGTCACTCGAGATCCCGAATACTAAAATAGCATCATGAAATAGCAACCCAGTCTATTCCTGGCGTAAACATCAATTAATGCGACATATTCCCTCGACAACAAACCGTGTTGGTGACGGTTACACCCTCAGTGAGGACCTACGCCTAGCAATCAGCCTAACGCAAGAAGCACAGATCCCAGGAACTCCGGAACACGAGTTCATACAGAATATCAGTCTCCCAGACGATAAATACGACAACATTTTTGCGCAGCGAGTGATCGATTACCTGAACAAGATCAAAGAAAAGATCGCTACTTCGGCAGGCGTAGAGCAGTATATGTTGCTTGCAGAGTCCCGCCGCAGAATATTCAGACCGCACCCGCAGAGCACAGGCGGAGAGACCAACCCGCTTGCCGAGTTTCCAATGACGCTGCCATACGCTACCGGCTTGCCGCCGAACTCCCCGTTCCAGGAAATGACTGAGCAAGGTGAAGTCGTCGTCATGCATGAGAAAGGCCAAGCACTGTACAATCGCAAGATCCTCGAGCGATACGAAGATAGGCTGCAGCGATTCGCGAACGTTCAGAGCCCATGTGGTGATTTCAGAACTTCCATGTGTCCGTTCGCAGGATACCACATGCCAATTCTCAACGGTATCAAGGATAACGAACCGGAGACCTCCAAATTGTGGGAAGATCCCAAAAATCCCGTTAACGCACCGGGCAATGCTAAATGGGCTGGCGCGGTTGGGGAGCCCCTTGCTTACCCAGGCGTGTCTGGCGATGCCAGTACTGTTTCTCCGGAGGTCGAGAAGATCATGGCTCTTCAGAAGTTGGATGCGAGTGTCGAGGGCCCCGACACCAAGAAGCCGACTTGGGACGACCATATTGCTGCGCTGTTCACCAAACCTTTCTGGATCCCTGAGGGTGCGGAACGGGATAGGGCCACTGCGCGCTGGATCGGGGCTATGAAGGGGTACATGATGGATCTCAAGAGCTATGAATCCGTCAAGCAATGGGCCGTGACCACCTACTATCACCTCCGCGGCAGGTCAATGCCTCTTCCGGGAGAACTTGGAGAGAAGGAGTACTTCCCTAGTGAGGCCTGCGAGTTGATCCGTTTGTGGATCAACCAGGGTATGCGTAAGACCACTAATGACGAGATTGAGCTCAGGGAGGAAGAAATTGAAGATATCGACCAATCGGAATGGGAGATCCCGAAGGTTAGGAAGGATATACTTGAACTCACTCAGACTGAGCTGGATCACTATCGGATGCAACTTGATGATGTCCTTCGTGCCGGCGATCCAGACCTTAGTTCCCCGTGGCAGAAATTGGGAAGTATCCACACAGAATGGTGTCTGCATTACCAAGAAGCTTTCTTGCCCTGGCATAGGGCACACCTCTTGTTTGCCTTCTCCCATCTAACATCAATTGAGCGAAAGAGCTATATTAACACATTGACAGATACATGGAAAGCTTGATAAAATGTCCCATCCCATACTGGAACTTCTTCGCAAAAGGCGCAGATGAGTACGGCAACCCAAGCGCAGGCATCCCTCAAGCCTTCCTCGATGAGGTGTACAAGCATCCTCTCACAGGTCTAATGCGCCCGAATCCTCTAAAATATGCATGTGCAAACGGAGGCATGTCCAAAGCCGCCATATCCCCCAGCTACCGCGGCGAGTTCAAAGACATAGCATCAAAGAGATACGTCAAACGCGACCCGCTCCTGACCGGCGGAGGGACAGAGAAAGAGCGTCGCGAGAAGATCTCACAGGTCAAGCTATACCAAGACCAGATCCTAAACGCCCTTACTTGGCCCATATTCTCCCAACCGCAAGGATTGTACGGCTACCCATGGGCAAACATCCAATCCTTCGACCCCCCACCCGGCGACGACCAATACCCCAACCGTGAAGACTTCGACGGCCTCTTCGAGCAGCCGCACGATAACTTCCACGGGTGGATCGGCCCGGATATGGCGGACAACTCGTACACGGCTTTCGACCCTATCTTCTGGTCGTACCACGCGAACGTGGACCGCATCTTTGAACAGTACATCCACGACCACCAGGACGCCACCTTCTCCTCCATATTCCCCCTACAGCCCTTCACCGGTGCTCGCGCGGACGAGATGAGTCTTGGAGACCCGCGCAAGCACATATACACCACCATCGGAGACATGGCCAAGACCAGTCTGGCCCTGGGGTACTCCATCGCGCCACCAGTGCACCAAGACTGCCCACCGAAGATTGTTCTCTTCGGTCGTGAGGGCCCCACCGCTGGCTCGAAAACTCCATACGTGCTGTTCGAGGGCGTAAAGTGCACGACCGAATCGTACACTATCGACGTGTATATCGATTGCCCGGAGACCAACAGACTGGCCTTGGCTTCGAATAAGCATTACATCGGCAGACTAACGCGCATGGGAATGGGTGCCAGTGCCAGTAAAGGCCGATGCATAAAGAAAGGGGTTACAAGGGTGTTGAACGCTGCCGGGGCAGCGGAGTGTTTGGCTATCAGGGACGATGCGGAAGCGGTGCTCTCGCAGGTGGTCACGGATGTCAAGACCGGCGAGACGGTTCCGGAGGAAGTGTATAAGAAATGGGATGGGTTCGTCGGAAAGTTGGTTTGGGGGGCGGCGATGCCGCAGGGGAAGGGTAGGAGGGTTGAGAAGCCGAGGGGGTAAAGTTGTGCTTGTGTACACATTTCACATTGTAGAGTGGTATGATAATGGAGATGGGGTTGCCTCTCACTGTATCTATATGTGCGCTTTGTGTGAACTTTCGTGGAGGACTGGGGAGGTAACGGGCTGGCGATAACGAATTCCTTATCGTACCGTACTGTACTGTACTCTACACCCTCACATTATTCCTTATGATAATTTAAAAAAAATATATATTTGGCCGGACCGAAATTTGAAAATTATTGTTGATTCCCCTAAACGCTTAAGGCCTCCACGGCTTATCGACAACCCATGGAGATGTTCAGATAGAAAAAATATACGGACGGACGTCATCAGAAGGAAATAGCTATCAACCTTTGTGTATATTCTAGATAACTATGATACCATAAGTATCGAGCACCGCGAGCAAACATGACTACAAATAATGCCCGCTCTCACGGAGCGAAAGGGAGAGATAAAGAATACCAACCCAAGGAGGAGCGCTACATACGCCAGGTCTCAGAGTCGCTCCCAGATATCGACCCCACCAACACTATCCAACCCTCTTCCCTCCCCCCCCCAGGCAGGTTCCCAAATTTAGCACCTTAACTTTCTACGTCACCACTCTTCCGCACGATTATAGCTTTAACTCGCCATGTGCTGTACTAGTACCTACATTCCGAAACAATGCATTTGTAGATTATTATACAGTTTTCGTGACCTTTATTCAGTCGGCAGTCTTGAAAAGAAAAAGAGAAGAAAAAAAAGCTTTTTCCCCTCATCGACCAAGCTTCAATCACACTCCTTAAGATTGCGGAAATTCGCCAAAGAATTGCTCTATAATAGTAGTGCCCTTCCTCCCCCAGGAAGCGGAGGGGGGTGGGGGGAGCGATATCATGCGCAAATTTACAGGTATTGCTTCAGGCAATTTTGTTCTTGAGATATTGAGAGGAAGAAAAGCACCGCTATTACGCTCCGAGAAGAAGAAAAAGGTGGGATTTCCCCTCCCCCCCCCACCCCCACTTATCCGATCAATACAGATATGCACACTTGATAAGATTTTGGTATTTGAGGCCTTGATAAAGAAAGAAAAACTGTCAAATTGGTATCGTCAAAACCGCACCATCCTATTCAGAGACCGGTATTCACAGCAAATCACTCGTGAGACGGTCGGATATAACCAGAGATGTAAAAATCCCAAGTAAAACAGATTCAGCTTATTTTCCAATAGCCCCCCCCCTTGGTCATCATACCCGAGCAATTTACCTTTCCTGTCCACCGACCCACCAGGGACGCCCATGGCTCACAGTAACAGGATTCAATTCCAATAAAACACGGCTCCCTTGAATACTCCACCTTCAACAGCCTTCCCCTCGCTCCCTTCCCCACTTGGGCACCGTGAGCCAATAACTACCTTTACGTGTTCGACCCATATCCATAATAACCCCGACAACCCCCCCCCCCCTCCTCCTCCTCCTCCAGTCGGGTTTAATGAAGAGGATAGGTTGGTGCATATAAAAAATAATAATTTGAAAAATATCATAAGGAGAGGAGAAGGAGCCCCCAGTATATCATCGTTTTCAGTCGCATGTTATGGATGGATGGGATCCGGCCGATGAGATCTGCGGGGTTTGTATCATAGATTTGCCAATTGAAAAGGCCTTACTTTTTACTCGATGTAGGGTTAAGTTACCGCGCTGTGCTTTGTTTGTTTGTTTGTTAGGGTTTGGTTATTCAGTGTGATACTATCATAATATTCAATAAATTTATCCGGCTTTAAGCTGTGAGCACGATATCATATGGTTCCCTCTCCATCATGAATTTTCATCCGTGAGGAAGTGTGTGGGAGGGAGGGAGGGGAGATACAGTAGTACAGCAAGGTACGCTTCCCAGGATTCTGGTGGTACAGTACCTGCGGGAAGGAAGGAAGGGAGAAGAAGGATATGTGTGGGTTTTTTTTTTAGGGTTGAGTTGTCAGCCAGTTGTACAAGTACGAGTACTTTTACGTTGAATTTGAGTGGATAGATCTCCATGGGGATCATCTCCATGGAGAAGCTGGGGTAGAGAGAGAGGGGAGGAGGGGGGGTAGAAAGAGAGAGATTTTTTTTTAGGGAAGCATGATGCAGTTTTTTTTTTCTTCCTAGCTTTTGTCTCGCATTTCCCTCAAGGTTGAAAAAGAGGTTTTTTTTTTTGATTCCCTTACTCTCATGAAATTCCAAACTCCTCATGAGCACCTCCAGAAGTTGTACGATGTAGAACCATACCGAACAGAGCGGTTCAGTTGGAACAAAAAAACGTACATGAAAGTGATTATTATATACCATTGACACCAAAAGAAAAGAAAAGAAAAGAAAAAAGTTTCCTTTACGAAAGTGTCATCAAGAGTGATACCCTCTGATTCGGTACCTCCCGCCCGAAAGACAAGCAAAAACAATCAGGGTCCACACCCCGGGTCTCGCTTTTTTCTTTTCTTCTTCTTCTCCCTTATCACGGGGGAAATGGATTGATAATGCCCCCCCATTACAATACCCTTTCACACAAAAGATATTACGACCAACCCTCAGACTCTCAACCTGTATTCATCATAGCTCTGGATATGATAGCAGTGCAACTCATTCGTCGCGAGTTGGGTAAAGAAAAAAAAGAAAAAAAAGAAAACCGCCATCCGCAGCGCATAACTTAACTTGAACCCCCCCTTCCCCAGCTCAGATAAACTCATTAGCAGGTAAAGTTTGTATGATATCGGAAAACCGGGGGAGGGGGGGAGAGGAGAAGCAGGAGTCCGTATGTGAACCATATATCTTGGAAATCCTCGTATTCGGCTGTACCCCTTGCCTGTCCACGGGAGGAGGAGAGATAGGTAATGTAAATCGTTATGCGCAACTGCTTATTATTCCACTTCAACTCGTTATTATTATAGGGCCCCTCCGCCCACCGCTTGTAGATGTATAACGCGGGCGAGCGATTTTTTTTTTTACAAAAGTTTCAGCGAAACAGTAATGTAGAAGGAAAAAAAAAAAAAAATGCGAACGCTTACCGTATCGGTTTGTTGGAAACAAGATCTCTCTCTCTTGTTTTTTTTTTTTTCCGTCCCAATTCTTTTGGAGGAGGGGGGGGGTTTAATGGGCGGTGCTTGGGGCGAGCTGAGATTCTTACCGATATATATATGCGCCTACCGATTCGTGAAATTTACAAACCAACCTCACAGCTCTTAGCGACCGAAATCCTGGGGAGGAGGGACGACGACTCCAGTGTCACCATTCATTCCCACAACCACCACCCAGGCCGCCCGGAAAGCGGGCGCCATTTAAGCCCCACAAAAAAAAAAAAAAAAACAGTTCAGCCCATCGATACTTTGTATCATACCAAACATTATGTAATTACAGTAGCTGAGTTACATGCTACCCCCTCTTCAAAAAAGAATAATCACCATCAAAGGCCAAAAGACCCTGCATAACTGTGCTCGTACAGTACATAACGGTGCCCGTCAGGCAAAGTGATTTAGCTCCACTGCAGTTATCATGAACAAACCGTAGTGGGGGGGGACTCCCTAGATCGGGAGTCAGGTAACGACATTTATCTTGGCCTGCCAAATTGTACAATAGATTAAATTTGGGTTATCCGCCCAAGTCCCCAAATGAATAGTCGGTTAAATTGTTCTTGGCATACAAACTGGTGTATTATTAACCGTAAAAAAAAATTAAGTTTCGAATTATCCCGTTAACTGGTTTTTTTTTTTTTTTTTTTCAAACTCCAATAGCCCAATCAAGAGATATTTATTAGATTCGTTTCTAATCTGTGATTCAATAGCCCTGCACTTGGAATAGGTGCTATTATTCAGCAGTCTTCGTGAATCCAAAGTTGGCTAATCCCTGGGTTAATTATCATGCAGCCAAAAGTATTGCTCCGGGAGTCCCCCACCATCATTCTCCAAAAACACTCCTCTGTCTTACCATCCTTGTCGGTACAGTGTGCCATGCCATGCAAATGCGGCTTCCATAACAGGAAAAAGGGAAATGTAAAGAAAAAGAAAACAATGGAAAAGAAGAAAAAAAAGTACCAAGGACCTAAACCGCATTCGGAGATATTCCTTATCTCTCGTGGTACCCGAAGAAATAACGCCCCTTCCTCTTCCCAATCCCATCCTCTCTCCCTCTTCCGCTATCTTCACGCCAGATAATTGATTCGTGTCCGGGTTTTTTTTTTGGGGGGGGGCTTCCCTTTGTCGTTTTTTTCTCACACACGCTGCTTTTTTTAGGTTTAGGTGAAGTAAACTGAGATAGATTGGATGGATGGGGTTACGTATAAAGTATTCATCCACCCCACGTTTTTTGATCGTCCTGTGTGGGGTTTTGGCCAAGAAAAAAAAAAAACAATACTGGTTGACGGTGATGATGGCGATGGAGGAGCGCGCGAGGAGCAGCATGAGAGAGGGTTGGGAGGAGCCGCTGGAGGAGCTGGTGTGAGGTGAAAGCCTTAAAACTTGTTATTGTCATGTTTCCTTTCCATCTCGAGAATTGGATTCGGCTTTTTTTTTTCATAAATTTACCATGTGCTTCTGGTAAATATCCTCCTACTTGCGCAAGTACCCTGGGTACAGTGCTCGTACTGTACATGTGCCCCCCAAGTATGGCACGGGAAAGGCAGTCGGTCCAGCAAGACGTCTTCCCCTTTACGGAGAAACGGTGAGGCACATCGTCGTGCCATTATCACGAATATCTTTAGGCCATCATGCTTCTTCTCACTTAAGAGACAAGATAATGGCAGTCCAGTTATTGATACCCGTACCCTCATTGTTGCCCATCCAAGCTATAAAGGTTACCGGTTGCCTGCCCCCAGTTGTAGATTCCCACGGTACCAATTAGCTTACCGGTTAGACCAACATCGCCAGACAGTAAATGGGGCTGCTTCATCCCGCCACCCCCAGTTTCCCTCACATTGTACCACCAGTACAGTACCCTACTGTAATCGATTGCACACTGCTGGTAATACCTCCCCCCCCCTCCCCCTTCTTCCTCCTTTGATCCTAAATACCGTAAGACTTTTCGATAAATTTCATCTTCTCCCTTCACTTCCCAACCAAACATCCTTACATATAGCTCGCATGGTAAAAAAAAATAATCATCCGGATGTAACCCCAGTTGATGGGAAACCTATGGTGGCTCGCATCAAGACAGCCGGCGTACAACCACATTCTCACCTTCCTCCTCCTTCCCTGGGAGGTATCATGCTATATCCTACATACTTGTATGATACACAGCCTTTCTTTTTTCCCCACGGGGCGACTGAGTTATTGTGTAAGTGAGTGAGCGAGTGAGTGAGTGAGCTTGGATGCATAAGAAAACATGAGGAGAGGAAGAAGAAAAAAAGTAACAAGAGTAATTAATTATACACTTATCACTGACGTGAACCTGTCCATAACTCTATTGCTTTCTTCATCTTCTCTCCTTCATAAAAACTCCCTTTCCCTTCCCTCCCGGTACCCCGACGCACTCCTCTCCGTAATCTTCAGACGACACGATAATCCTTACCAATTATTCCCCGTATACCACCAATTCGAGAGGGCAGAGAAAGCATTTACCGTATCTACATCCTATTACCAATATTTCCAAGGTCTAAACCCCACAAGGCTTATCTCATTGCTCGCAGGAGAGGCCCCGTTTCAGATTCCGTTGTCTTGGAAGCAACGAGGGAGGGAGGGAAAGGGAAAAGAAAAGGTAAAGAGAGAAGAAGAAAAGAAAAAGAAAGAAAAGAAAACTGAACCGGGGTGTGTATCCTTCCCGTAATCTACCGGTAATCTAATCTCTTCCACCCGTTGTTCTGGGGGGGTACGTGGGTAGGGAAAGTTGCCCAAGTGAATGGAAAATGGGTATGGTACCGGTATGGTTATGGCCTGGTATTGGGGGGGGGGAAGGAGCGATAAGGCAAGGCGAGGAGTCGAGCATTTACCCCTACCGGTACTGGGGCTCAAGTTGGTTTTGGTTGGCGGAGGTTTTCTCTTTTTCTTCCTCTTCCTCTTGCACACCCGTATCCTCGGTAGCTATTCTTTCCTCCCTTTTCCCTTTCCTACAAACACACCTTTGGAAGTTCACGATAGCTCTTTTTTTGTGTTTTTTTTTCTTCTTCTTTTTTTCTTTTTTTCCCTCTATTTTGGAATGAATTTCTGAGAATTCCGTGACTGGATAAAAAAAATAGTGAGGGTTCGCAAGCTTACGGGTTTCTTATCTCTAAATCAAGTTTCACGATGAAATCGAGCGAGAACCCTCCGACTACTCCCGCGACTATGGGAGCCAGTAACGGGATAACTACCAGCGCGAGTGCTAGTGGCGGCGATGTTACGACGGCACAACCTGCAACCACCTCTACCTCCACTACCAATTGTAGCAGCGGCAACAACAATTCTGGCAACAATGTCAGTGGTAATATTGACCGCAATGCTGTTGCGTCCTCCAACAATTCTACCGCAGGGAATAATGGTACAAAGGCGAAGCCGGCCGCATTATCGGTGAATACTTCTACAACAGCGAATGGGGATGGCGCAATGGCGGCGGCGACGACGACGACGACGAATGGGACTAAGGGACGGCGCGATAGACCCTGTGATGCTTGTAGGAGACGGAAGAGCCGGTGCGTCATGAATGAGGGTGCGGAGATTTGCGTGCTTTGCCAGTTCCACACCCAGGAGTGTACATTTGTGCAGAGTCCACAGCCTCGGAAAAGGAGACTTGCTTCGTCCAATGTGGGCTCGGAGGATCAGGTTGTTATAAAGAAACGGTATTATCAAGTTTTAGTTTATTCATCTTTTTGTTCTTTATTCCTTAGCTCTTCTATTCCGCAACATTTCGCAAAAATCTCTTAATCTTCTATTCCCATCCGCCGTATACCTCATATTATGCTCCAACTAGTGCAATACCCTAAACTATCGTTCCGGCTCTTCCCACCCTTATCTCTCTCCCTCTTGGGGAGAGTGGTGATATATTATGCCCGAATTCTTTTTTTTATTTTACCTTGGCGATTGATTATCTGTGAAGCTAACTTTCCGGAACCCCCTTTAAGTAGGTCTACGGAACCAGAATCTCCCCAAGAAACCGCTATCCGGGGAAACATGCCAGTTGATGATTATGCAAGCCTACGGGGCCCTTCCCTCCTTAAGACAACACTGGGACTACAAGGCCACCGCCACTCCCAGCTGATAGGACCAACGAGCGAGTACGAGTCGTGTCTGATAGACCTGTGTCCCTTTGACCGAAAGGACGAGTACATGTTATCCTCCGCGGGCGGGTCTTTCAGAAGAGCATCTGATGAAATCACTTTCCTAATGTTTCCCGACCACCCAACACAGAATCACGGCGAGATCTTCGACGACTTGGATGCGATAGAGCGAATCGTGGCCCCGCACGGCCAATCGCTGATAAACCTCTACTTCAGGATCGTGCACCCGTCCTTCCCAATTCTGCACAAAAAGGTGTTTCTGGAAAAGTACTCGCGAACGCACCGCGAGTTCTCACCGCCACTGCTGGCGGCTGTATACATCCTCGCGTTACACTGGTGGTCATACGATAGGGACCTGTCCCCACAGAAGAAACCGGATGTGGCAGCGCTGGAGAAATTGGCGAGCAAAACCATCGCAGACGTGATGCACAGGCCGAAACTAGCCGCTGTGCAGGCTGGTCTCTTGTTATTGCAGCGGCACTCAGATTTGAAGGGAGGGTCGTGGGCGCTGACATGTCAGCTTGTTGCTGTGGGGCAGGAGCTGGGACTTCACTTGAACTGCGAGGGCTGGAAGATACCGCCTTGGGAACGGGGACTTAGGAAACGGTTGGCGTGGGGCTTATTTATGCAGGATAAGTGGGGGGCGTTGACGCATGGTCGGCCTTCGCACATAACTCGGTCGAATTGGGCAGTGCCTGCGGTAACCGCCGAAGATTTCCCGGAGAACGCGGCGGACGAGGATGATGGAGAGGGAAGCTCGGAGGTGGAGAAGGGAAGGATGCTGTTCGAGCAGATGATCAACCTAAGCGGCATCATGGCAGACGTCTTGGAGACATTTTTCACACTCGAAGCTCAGCAGAGCCTTGCGGGTAGAGGAGGAACTAATCGCGTGCTCGAAAAGGCGAAACCTATACAGATTAGGCTGAAAGAATGGTTCTCAAAGTTGCCGGAATGCCTGAGAATGGATGCTACCAAGATTAGAAAGCTATCTTCCAACGGTTAGACCCCCAATCACGTTTGTTGGTTTGTTTGTTCATTCCTCGGGAGTGCCGATAAAAAAAAAAACATAACAGAGCAAAAAGGTCCTAACGTGCACTGATTAGGTTACCTGCACCTCGCGTACTTTGCAACAGAAATAACCCTGCACAGACAAATATTGCGCTCATTAAGCCCCCCGACGAACACCGAATCCTACATCCACCACATTTGCCGATCCGCCGCCAAAACCCGATTGATATCGGCAATGGACTTTGTAAACCGTTTGAAACCCGAACACCTACAATCATTCTGGTATTTTGCTTCGAAAGTGAATTTCGCCCTTATCGGCACGTTCGGCTCCCTTCTCTGGGCAACAAGTCCAAACACCCAAGAGGCAGAATTCTACAAAGCGAGGCTAAGCGAATACCGCTGGACCCTCCGCGTTTCCTCCCGCGGAGCAGAATTCATGGAGTACGCCGTGGGCGTGTTGGACGCTTCAGTCGGGTATCTGCAGCAGGAACAGTTCCGCAAACGCGGGTTGGGTAACGCCACGCCGGGGTACACCTCGACCGTAGGAGCGGGCGAGAACTTCGGTTTGGGAATGGGCGTAGGTTTGAACCCACCTTCGTCGTTGTCGGTACCACCGCCGCCGCCGCTTCAGCTACCGCATCCAGAGCCAACTCTCCCTCCGCAGTGGCGCGGGCCGGATGTAACACACAATGAGCGTGATGGCCACCTATCTCCTATAACGGGCTATGATAGTGAAGTCGACGACGACGGAGAAATGACGGATGGGTCGAGCACATCTTCGCGAAGAAGGCTAAACAGCAGCTCCGCTTCTCCAAGTATGAAGGCCTACCAGGGTTTCCCGTTTGTGGATTCGGGTCCTACTGATCCCCTCGCGACCAATGCATCCACGCCTACGTCTACCACCAGCTCTGCATTCGACTTCTTCATGATTCCAAACGGGATGCCGGGGGGCCGGATGCAGGGTGCTGAAGCCGCCGGCGTTACAAGGGGAGAGCTGGATTTTCTGGCGACGACTGCTGGATGGAGGAGCAGGCGGGATGGAGACGATTGAGGGGGAAGGAAAAAGGCACGGAAGTTCTGTAACGGTTCATTTTTCTTTTACTTGTAGTAGTAGTTTTTTTGTTTTCCGTTCGTTGTTGCCGGTTCCGTTGTCTTGGTGGGGAAGGGTGAATGGAAAGAAAACGGGGAAAAGGAAAGGGTGCTTTGGTTAAGTAAGGGAGCAGGCGAAGGAAGCTTCCCACGAGCATTTCCGCGGAGGAACCCGTTCTCTACATGGAATCCCATACCACACTTTACACCACCACCACCCACCACTACGCACTTGCACTTTTTTGCTATCGTATTTCATCACCAGATGGAGATATTGCGACAGCCAGCACATGGTACCATTTATTCTTATTATTACTGCTACCACCACAGCCGCCACAATCGCCCCCCTTTTCTCTCCCCTCAAGGTTTCTATTAGGGGCTTGCTCTAGCGGTTCCAGAAAAGCCTTGTTTTTACTCCTCCCTTTCTCCCTTTCTCCCTTCCTTCTTTCCTCCCTTCCTTCTCTCTTTTATTTTCTTCCACTCTTTCTTTCGTTCAGGGCTTCTCGGGATCGGCTGGCTTTTTCGCTTTTTTTTTTTTTTACTCGTTCTTTCTCTCCCTCTTTTCAGTATTATACTCGTAACCAACCCTGGCAGTTTTAGCGGTCAAAACACTTGAATTCATCAGACACTTTCCAAGATAATCTTCCTTTTCCATGGTAGGCCCTGCGCCTTATAATACCCCACTGAAAGCGCTTTCCCGTTCCGTGTGTAACCGCCCAAGCCAACGAGTGACTAACTGTTATGAATAAGTTGTGAGTGGGGGCTGAAACTGCACTCCGAATTTCCCTGTACAAGTACCGTACTCGTACTTGCCGTCCGAAGTTCGTGAAGTAATACCGGCATACTGGTATCATACTTTCCACAGTATGTACGATACAGTACTGCATGGAGCGCTGTTTCGCCACTTGGGGGTAAGTGGTTGTTAATGAAGGATAGTCATATTGCGTCACTCGTGTTTTCTTTTTTTTTTCCTTGGAGAGTGCAAGGTAATCCTGTAGATGTAAAAAGAAGGGACTGGAGAAGTTAAGTTTCTACTGGAGGTTATTCCACAGATTTATCATTGCCCGGGACTTACAGTACAGCGCACGGGTGGATTCCCAACAAATTGTTATTTCACAGAACCTGATAGCCATGCTGGAATCGGAGTGTCTCCCACGGGGAAGGAAGGAAGGAAGCAAAAGCTCTGGGATCCCGATCAGGGTTTGCCTAATGGAGTTTTACACAACACGACATCCGAAAACCGTTACGGTACAGTACGGTAATGCCAGTTCTGGATAAGTGCCACAAGGAATAGTAACAAATATTGATATTTGTGAAACCTGCATCACTCAAGTTCCCAATACGGCAGTGGACAAGGGGACGCTACCGGATTTATCGTACGCTCTTGGCCAGAATGAGTAAGGTACCGTATGACAGTTAGTTGGCTTTTACCTGTATGATGCTGTACTCGTACATTTAACCCATTTTGGAGTCGCCACTTTTTTTTTTTTTTATCACAGTACTGTACTCGTACTTGTACTCCCCTAGCACGTTTTCACGAACTTGAGCTACAGTAGTCTAACGGTATCGATGATCAACCCGTGCAATGCAAGAAATAAGATAATGCCCCGAGACGACAACCCGACTGAGCATCCTACAATCCTGACAGGTCGGTCCTCTTCGAGGAAATTGTTGGCCAGGCCATAGTGCAGTATAAAGATCGTTGACTTTCTCGTATGATACTGGCTGGGGATCTTCGTCGTTTGTACTGGGGCCATGCGGAATCTGGGAACCGCACAGAGGGGGGGGGGTTTGGGGGTGAAGAAAAGTTTAATTAGAATGCCAAGTCGTGCGATTCCAATCGCAACTACTTGGGGTAGGAGGCGGTCTTGCTGATGTACTCTACCCGCGATGGATACACAGTAGTTACTGGCGCTGTCGTTATGGTACAGTATGCATTTCAATTTGCGAGCTAGCCTTTTCAAGCTAAGGGGATTAGAACTTTGAGGAAAATTATGCTTTATGTCGAGGTGGTCGGTTTTCCACGGTGTTTTCCATCCCCTATCCAAGAGAGGAAATTTGAACGTCTTAGTTAGTGCAAGTGCCAATTATTCGAGTTCTTACAGTGCTTGAGTTTCAGGATTTAGGTTCAAGACACGATTATCTTGCAATCATCCGTTACTAGGTGAACTTGAATGGGACACCTTAATGCTCTGGTTTAACACGGCCTATATGTGTATGAGTATATAACCGTAATTACCGGTGTCATTGAAACTAGACCCGTTCAACTGTTTCCACTGGCAGTGTCCAAATAAGTTGACCTACATCTTAGTTTTACCTCGCAGATCTCAGTTTCTAGAACCACTCATACTATGCTAAAGAGAAAAAGAGAAAAGAAAATCATTACCACCACGCCGGTTTCAACATGACTGCCTTCCGTTATCAACATATAAGTAGCTTGAACGATTCACTCGTCAATTTTCCTGTCAACTCTCCAACTATCCAACATGTACATTCAGGTTACATCCAATCTTGATCTCGCCCACCAGGATAAAAGGGGTCTATCTAAACACGACTCTCTTTTGATCGTCGCCATTCTCCTCTCCATAACCACCCTCCTAACTATCGGACCAAAGGCGTCGGATTTCTGCAAACTAAAAATGCCAGGAATTATACCCCTTAACCTGTTACGCTGCTTGGAGAACCCCTTTGCAGACATGTCCTTGCATAGGCCACACTACTCCTGGGAAGTAACCAGAAGATTTAACTATGCAACGGGCCTCGTCAAAGCTATCGCCGGGGATGTCGAACAAGTGAATGGTATTAACTCTCAGGACGCGTTACTCTTCCTCGAGAGGACTGGTAACGCCATGAACGAAATTCGGGAATTGAAGGATAAGTGCATGGGCATGGGCCACGAACTCACCTATTCCGAAGCGTATAAGGGAATGGGTGTGTTGACAAAGGAGCTCCGCGAGGTCTCGGTCGAAGTCGCAATGTATTTGGGAGACGCGGAGGGACTTGGGGTTGAAGTTTTGGAGATCCCGCCGGAGGGCGAAGAGGGTGGGGTGAATTTGGGGGCGGAAGGCGGCCCCTCCCGCACGTCCTTGGATAATACCCCTGCGTCGCGGCCCTCACCACCACTCCCTCCTCCTGCCTTCCAACGGCCCGACGGAGCCCCCGTCGGGGGTCTTGCTCGGAGGTTTGGTGAGGTTGCCCGTGCGAGGGGCCTATCGCGTTCTAATGCCACGGCCCGTCGTCGTAGACGTCTTTTCCCGAAAGTTCCCCCGGAAGAACGTCAGCGGTCGGCGTACGTGACTACTATTATTAGTCCGGAACCGGACAGAACCGGGCTTCTTGGTGCTCGTAATCCGCTTTTGGATGATGCTGGGGCTTCCAACTAGCTCTGTTTGGATGGCCCGGCCTGAAGTTATTTCGTGGGGATTATATAGATTTATTACGGGTCGGAGTGATGAGCAGGAATTGGTATTACGGTTTGGATGTTGTGGTTTTTTTTTTTTTACTAGGCGAATGCTGTTTCGAGTGACGGATGGTGATCAATGTATCGGGCTTTCTGATTGGTATTGACCTGATTTGTGGTATTTTTCATACATCAATTTAGCAAGGGGTCGGATCATAAGGGAACAAATTTAGCCGGAATATCGGCCGACACCTAATATTGCACCAGAATAGGCCAGGTCCCGTTCTTATTTGGGAAAAGCAGGTTAAGGGTATAGAGACTACTCGAGTAGTGTAACTTTCACACATCCGCTTTGTTCTGTACTGGGCTTATAGGATTCCTTTTCATCGAGGAAATAGGAAAATAGGAAAAGCGAAAAAAAAAAGCAGAAGATGGAAAGGGAGGGCATCCGGGATCCATTGTTCCATAGAGGATTTGTAGGTGGCTTGGTTGTTCGGCTCTTATATCTAGTTTAGGGTGGTGTTGCATCGGCTGTACTGTACGGCACGCTGGTTGTTTGATCCTCAGGTCCCTTTTAAACAAGCTCTTACTTTCATCTCTTATATAACCTATCACAGTTTAGAAAATATTTTCAGGCTCAACGGCCACTCTAACAGCGTTTCCTCGCCTCTAGCTTATATCCGGATACTGGAAAATAGGTTGAAATGTTGCGTCTATCGCATTCTAAACAGCTGCAATGGGGGCTTGCTTCCAACTAAACCTATCATCCCCTGCAGTGGTGATAAGTGCTGAATTTCCCTACTCGTACATCCTACTTAATCTTTGGTCAGTCGTAGTATCATATCATAGTAGCATTAACTCACGGTGGGGCAAGTACCGGCAGCATTCGCATTCCGCAATCCAGAAGTCTACCCGATGGTTGGACTCTACATATACCGGGGACGCCAGAACTCCCGTGAAACCGAGCGAATGGGAAGAAAATGGAGGAATATCTCTACTCGAGTAGAGTGTTTTGTCCCCACTGGAGGTATCATAGCTGCCGTTCAGTTGTGCTACCGTAGGTGCCGGTGAATGTTTTACGTCCTGGTTTCAGCTCTAAAATTATTGCCATATCATATCATACTGCCAACCAACATTAAACGTGATGCGGGGCAGCTCTCTCCTGCCGCCGCATCCGTGAAGCTCTCATGCCCTCCCTTGTATCTTGGGAACTGTGCCAACCAACAAGAAGGGGACAAGCAAAACCTTTTAACTGGCTGTTGTTAGATGTGCCTCTAGGGGTACTGCGGAATTTTAACACAATTTATTTTTGCTGAATAAAGAGTGAGAGAGGGTTAGCAAACCGTTTCCAAGGGCAGGGACCCGCTAACAACCTGATTTATCTAGTGTTTCTGTGGTTGGGGTTGAGTTGGTCCCTGCTTTCATCAATCCAGCTCTTTCTCAGCGCTATTATTCGTGCTCTTGTCGTATCGGCGTCGGGTATATAATTCTTAGCCATCATTGTTCAATTCAACTGATCGCGTAGCAAGAACATCAGCTACACCCGTGGAAAAGCCTCAAAATCAATAAAGATCTGTACTGAAAAAGAGTTTGGTCCTCGGAAGGAAAGAATGAATGGCCCAAGTCTACGCATTGAAGAGCAGTAGGCATGAGGGAGGAGGGCACAAGGTTTGCTGAGATATCGCATGGTAAAAATACCTGCCATAATATTTACTTCAGCCTACCAACGATTTCAAGTCAGTTTCTACCAACACTTGAACTGGTCAATTTTGAACACATACAAATTTTTTAAGGCTGGATCGAAATTGCGCTAGTACGAGAGTAGTAAAGGAACTCCCTGTACGAGTAACTATTCCATAATATACGAGTACCGGTACTCGAGTACAAGTACGGAATAGTTACTTTCCTGTTTGGGATTGGTAACTGAGGGACATTTTGATAGTGACAAGAACACGCCAGGGGTGGACTCTTTTAGTGTCCCCTACCATGCCTGTCCAATACTGATACTCGAGATACCGGTGCTTGAGGATCTGTGCTTGTGCTCGTATCGTGCAGCGCGAGGTGGCACGGCGTCAACGCCCCGTCACACAGGTGCAAGCCATGTCCAGACAATGGCAGACGGAACATGCCGGAAGCCCAATAGCAATTCTTCACTACTGCACTAAGCTTCAGCCTCACAGCAATTGGTGCAGTAATAAGTTCAAAGGTGCCCTGACCCCAGGGCCGAAATTTTGACCTTCGTTGCGCATCCTTCTCTCACCTTGGCATGGAATTCAACCATGAGGAAACTTTTCAAGCTAGATAAACGCTCGAAGCCACGAAGCAATACTTGGCAGAAGGCGGAATTGGATGGAACAGAGGTATTTCGCTACCTAATTTTCCCTGGAAGAGGATGGTAGATTGACTGAAAGTTTCTGGGAAGGTACAAATATCGCCGGAAAAACAGAATAGGACTGGATCAGCATTATCCGGGAATACAGCGGTTGAGAATTCCCTGAACTTTGTAGATCCCAACCGTGGTTTCGCAAAAGCTATTCAAGAGGATGAAGCCAAATCTTGGCCGCATGGAAGCGGTGGGTCCTCAACGCAGAATGTTACTACTCACGAAGGATTCGGCAGTTGGCTCTCGACATTTCAGCCGGAGGCGATGTCGAGTAATGAACACCAGAAAAACTTGGAGAGGTTGAGCAAGTTATCGTTGATTGATGCGCGGGGGCAAATGCCCGCTCCAGAACCACTGATCTCCCCGAAGGTGCTCCCGGACCCTGCTCCCCCTCATGGGCTATCCCATAAAGCACCTCAAAATTGCACCATTGTCTTTGAAGGATTCCAGGAAAGCGGTAAAATAAGGAGTACAGATATCTCCTTACCGCCGGATACCCCACTAACCACCATTATCCAAACTCTACAAGACCAAGGTTCTCCACCGACTGCTTTTTAGTGGGTCTTGAGCTAATATAAGAGGTCACCCAGGCTTCAAAAAAATCCTCGGCTTTTCCCCACACACCGCTAGGGAGTTAGCTATAGCCCCATGGATCAACAGATCGAACGCATACACTATAAGAGTTACTTCAGGCCCATCTAATTACTCCTTCGCTCACGGCTACTGCATAAACGAACACGAATCATTCATCGCCTTCTTCAACGCGAGCATCGCTAAGTCCGACCCAATAGAAGTTATCAAAACCGCCGGTGATGAGCTCTCTGTCGATGGCGGAAAACTGAAAATTAGCTTTCAACGCTCCCTGCGGATCCCCGAAACCAGGAAGACCTACGATCTACCTCCTAAGATCGCGAAGTTCCCGCTGTTCAATGTGAATGACTTTGCTAAGCGTATGCCCGGGAATATGGCCGCAAAGGGAGGTGTTTGCATGCCACTCTTTCAGCGGGAGGCCATGTGGATTGACTTTAATTACCCTGGGAAAGGGGATCCTGGAGGGTTGAGTCCTCAGTATGCTATAAAGGTGTTTTTCGGGGGGGTGAATGCCATTTCCGGTGAGACCTGGAATAGCTCCGCAAAGAAAAAGCAGGACTACATCGTTGTCCCACCACAGCCATGGCTCGACGGGATAGCTACTGGTCCTGGGGTTGTAAAGCAGTTTGTAGCTATGCCTTTGGGCAGTGGATACTCCGTCGAGCAGCAGGTGACTGGAAAAGAAGACATCGGAGGAATACAAATGGAGATATCGCCAGTGTACAACAACAAGTTTGAAGTGTCTGCACAATGCAAATACAACTACTTGGGCAGGGGCACCAGTTACGGGTACGGCTCACCGCCCTCGAGCTGGAGCAACTATAGTACGCCGAAAATGATGGCGTGCACAGTGGGTATGAGAATCTTCATCAAGGATTACCGGCACGGGGATATTTCCCGAGACTTCAACTCACAAGAGATATACTATGACCTTCCCGTCGACATGGCCTGGGGTGATTCGAGTATGGGTAGTAGCTTTGACAGCCCGTTCGTGCGGCCGGCGGTGCTCCGAGATCTGCTCGATTTGAGTCCTCAAGAGCACAATCTTCAGAAACCGCTATTCGTGACGGCATTGAACGTGTTTTCGATTTTCGTGGAGCAAGACGGATCGCTGGAGTACCCACCGCAGGTTATTTTCGTTGTGGAATGTTCCCCTTTTGCGACTACACCGCAGCTGATACAAGCTATCGAGAAGGCGAGCTCAAAGAAGCATTGGTATACCAACGCGGATTATAAAGTACAATGCAATGGAGTAGACATGGACGAGAGACTGACGATCTAGGAGCACGGGATACGAAGCGGTGCAAAGGTGAAGTACTTCTGCTTATCATACGTGCAGCCTCAAATTTCAGAGATGTATACTCCAGCCAAGGACAGTAGCAGCGGATACTGCAGGATACCCAACCCCGGAGGTTACCCCCACAGCCCATATCTACCGGTGTCACAGCCAATACTGCAAACGCAGCCGCCAGTTCAGCATCCCCCGCAAGCATACAGTCCCCGCCCCCCGGCTGGTTATTCGGGAATTGCTTACTACCCACCCCCCCCACAGCAACCCCCAAGTTCCGGTCCGCCTGCACAGACCGCCCATTACCCCTACCAACCTACACAACAACCTTCACCATCACCATACCCATACTCAACTCCACCCCAGAACCAGATGGGTGGCCAGAACCTAGCGCCCAACTATGCACCTATGCCGCAAACATGTCCCCAGCCCTCAGCTAGCCGTCCGGGAGCCGCTTACAGCTCCCCCCCCAAACAGCAATACCAAAGTTGCAGTGCGCCCGCACAAACTACTGAATATACCTACCAACCCACACAATCTACCTACCTACCCACACAGGAATCGTCTCCAGCATACCCGTGCGCAGCTTCACCCCAGAACCGGATGGAGGGCCAGAACCTTGCGTCCAACTATGCATCTGCACCACCGACAGCCCACTCCAGCCTCTCCCCATCATACTCGCAGAGCTGTGCACCCCCATCATTGCCACCACCCCAGCAGCAACAACAGGAAGAGCCCCGTTGGGACATGGGCCTGGCCGCCGGCGGCCGCATTTCCCAAAAAATACACCCAGATCCACTTCCAAAAAACTCATACAATACAAAAAACGCACGCGTGCTAAACATTCAAATACTTAACTCTGTAGCATTCGAAACCTGCACTGGGATGCTAACCCCCGAGACACCAATCACCACCGAGTCCTACGCCAAGGCTGGGCTGCCATTTTATCGTATATATGAGGAGGAAGGGGCGGGTGTTTATGGCTTTAGTGGAGATGGGAACGGGGGGATAAAGAGCTTGGGCACAATTGATCAGGAAGTGGGTGTTTTAGCGGATGTAAAGGTAGATCCTAGGCGGCCCACAGTGTGCTTGAGATGTAATGGACGATTGGTTGATTGCATGTTTGTTTCCCTCCCCCCCTCCTCCCTTCCCTGGCTTCGCTTTTTCTAATAGGTGGAATGGGTTGCCGGTTGTTAGATTGCGCAAGTGTAACCATGCCTTCTGCGCGGAGTGTGTTCGGGGAAAGATGACGACCCGTGAGGGGATTGTTTGCGCGTTTTGTGGAAGGGTTGCAGAATTGCTGGTTGGGATTTCGGCGCCCATGAGCATGCCCGGTGAGGACGATGTAGTGTTGACTAATGTTGTAGTTTTGCAGGAGAGTAAGGTTGTGGAGATAGGTTGAGTTGGGTTTATTGGAGCGGTATGATATATTGGCATCACATGGAAGTAGGGTTATCATTTTGCACGGCAATAAAAAAAAAAGGTTGATATCATACTTAGAAAGGAACTCGGGATGATATTGAGTCTGTAAGGGCACCGGTCGAGCTTGTGAATAATAGTTCTGGGGAAAATACCTGTACTCAAGTCGCCATCCAACTATTTCCTTCGGAAAAATGTGGTTGCTGCTTGGCTCCGGCTCACTACAGACTTAATCCCACCCCGAGAGTCTTTGGGTGGAATACAAGTACGGGATAAACAGTTTGTCCGAAAAGTCCTCAAATAATACACCATGTTTCCTTGTCATAGATAACAAATCCCTTGCGGTATTTCACAGCTAAGGTACAAGGCCGGTAAACGACATCACTGATGAGAAATCTAATACTCGGGGGGGGGGGGTAGCTTACTTATCCATTTTGCCAATGCTTGAAGCCGAGCTTTCTGTGTAATTCTTGAGTAAAATGGTTTTAACTCCAATCCCTCTCCTGAACTCCTCTTCCGTGTTCTCCCTTACCCCCCCAAAATTGTGTTACCCTTATTTTTCTATAATATTATAACCCCCAATAGCCATGATCGGCCTAGTTGGCGGCTTGTCACGTAGTGTAATGTAAACTCAACGCTCCAGAAGACGAGTACTTATCTGTGAAGATGTTAAGCAGCCAGGAATTAATACGCTAGGTCCAACAATGGTGCTTAGCAGGCGGCGATATGAATAGATGGGACAGCAACAGGCACCATGAGCATAAGCCATAGCAGTACTTTTTCCACCATTGGGAGTATGTCAAGAGTGCGTACGATACAGCATCCCTGGGTCCACCCTTTTGTGTGCTTGTTTTTTTTTTTCGTAAGGTCTAGGAGCAAAAAGAATTTTGGGCTCTGATTAAAAGATCATTGACTAGCTGAAATTTTACTAGTCTTTACCGCATCAGTTCCTGGGTTGGAGCCCATGTTGACCAATTTACGCTCAAACTGAAATTAGTGTTAACCTAGGGAACAGCAAACGTAGCGGCCTACCATACTCAGCTTCACCCTCCCAGAATCCCTCTCTTCGCACCCATTCAGATCCCATTTTCCAGGCTCTCTGTGCATTAGCGAAAACCTGCCTGACATTCCTTTCTCCCAGCATGTCAAAGGAGGGTCCACCCGGAAGTGGGGCTCTCGGATTGTCCGGGAGTGGCTTGCTCTGGAGCTTCTTGTCCTGTGTAATAACCACGTATCAGCCCCCCCCCAAAAAAAAGAATACAGAGCACAAATTAGATCCGTATCATACAAGTTCCGTGATATTAGAGACTTTTCACTGTTCAACAGACAGCACTGTGTATTTTTCTCCGAGACAGACAACGCTGCGCCTGCTCTGATAGAGGCGATGTCGAACCAACGGGACTGCGCCTAACACCCACTCACAGGGCTCTTCAATGCGGGCACGCGGGGATGGCTGTGGAGAGGGGGGGGGAGGGAGTGGAGACGTCAGTCCCTTAAATGCCAGGTTCAAATCACCACCAAGCCCCCCGGTTGTATGCTGCTGTAAACGAGCATACAAGAGCAGTAGAGTTACCACGAGACCAGACATCCCAAGTCCTCGGGGGTGGATTAAACCCGAAAAAGCATTAGCTTTCCTACCGCTCTCGGGCATTACTACTCATACCTTCTGGGACAGCCCCGGGTATGCTTATCACTAGGGGTCCCCTCCCTTCCGCCAGATTCCCGGGGGGGGTGTACGATAGGATACCCCCGTGGACATCACGGTTTTCCATCCACTTCCCAACTTAAATTGTCTTTATCGGATCTTGACCTTGGGAGGTGTCCTCGGCCGTTGTCGGCCCGAGGGAGATCCATGGGAATTCACACCCTATTCATATACACACGCAGTACCTGTGCGGTCCTCTGAGAATTCGAGTTTTGAGTAGAATTTTCTTTCATAACATTAAAATAGTCTTTATTTTTTTGGCTCTAGATCCTGTTATTCGTCTACCACATCCTTTAACTTTTTATAAACTTCTCCGCTCTCTCCTTCCCAATGTGATAGTAGGTCTTCAACAAATTTTACCCATACCACCCCGACACATAAACAACCTAATAAAGGGGTGTATGAGGGGGAAAGGGGCGCAAGTAGAAATTATATAATACCTTCAATAGTGAAAAAAAAAAGGGGGGGGGTTAATAGATATCGGGAAAGAAAAACAGGCCTTATTTTGTCCTCTCAGAGATAGATTTCTACCATCCCTCTCCTCCCCCCACTCCATGATATGATAGACATGACTTGATTTGTCAGCTAGCATCTAGCCATCCAGCCATCCAGCCAGGGCTAACTATTGGGAAATACCCCCAATGTTAGACCGACCACCACAGTATATAACCCAATTGGAATATCCATACTCGTACTCAAAGCACCGTACTGCACTCTGAGTTGGTAGCCCTTCCAGAAGACATGTGTTCGTTCTACGTCTCTTACTCGGGTGGTAAGGATAGAGAAGTATAGGCTAAAGCTCCCCTGACAGCAAGCGCTAACGCCAGCTGTCGTACAGGGATTGACATGGGGTCAGGTTGATGTAAAGGAGAATAGTTCCTTGCTTATAATACTTGTACTATCATACAAGCACACATCTGCCAGTGAACCCGCGAGAGGACTTTACAAAACAAGAAACATCCCCTAGCAGTATTTACCGCTACCCCATCTCTAGCGCGGTCTACATATGACCCTCCCTCAAAGGCCGGTATCGTTTTGAGGCAGAAGTTGAAGGAGGTGGTACGAATCTGTCAAGTTGACATGGAGGCGAAGTGAAATCACAGGGAAGGGAGTGTGGCCCTCATGCATCACTGACTTGGAGATTATCCAAACACGGCACCCACAAACTTGTGTGTGGATTTCAAAGGCTGAGGAGGGTATCGTAATATAAGTCACTATTTCCTCAACTCAACTTATATCACGAGTGATGTACCATGCCGCACCACCAAACCCATGATGAAAAAGCTCTAAACCTCGGCCATTTTTCGCAATATGATACATACCTACAAAAGGCAGACAGCAATCCAGAGGGATGAAAGAGAGAAGAAACATATCAATAGCTGAGGTGGATAAAATGCGAAGACGACCAAAAAATGAAAATGGAGGGGAAAAAAATGATATAGATCTGTACCCACTTCCAACTAACACCAAACTTACCAATCGGCGACTCAATCAGTCAAGCATACCATATCATATCATATCGTACCATATACCACATGTATCGCGGGACGCCTAATATACAACTTTCACCCCAATTTCAAAAGAAAAAAAAACAACCAAGAGCATTAATTAGCCCGCCAGAAATGCCCAAAATGGCTCGCAATATGCAAAAATGCCATGCAAAATTAGACCAAAACTAACAACAAAAGCCCAGCATAACAACCAGGCCATTCGTTGTCAAGACTTCCGTTGCCCAACACCTGGAACATACTTTCCGCCACCCCCACCGTTACTACAGCTGGCATTCGCATATACTTTATCGAAAGGATCCGGGGTGGTGCTTGCACGGGGCGTGGCCTGCGACGAGCGCTCTACAGTGCCAATATCTTTGATTTCGGGGTATTCGACAATGCCTTTTTCCGTCACACCAACTGGGACAGAGCCTTCCGGTCGTATTGCTGGTGGCGATAGCGCAATCTGAGGTGGGGGAGAGGCAGGTTTCCTCTTGGCCTGGCACCACTTCAACAGCATCTTCTCCAATGTCGCGCTGCGGACCGGTTTTGCAAGGTAATCGTCCATACCCGCTTCCTGGCACTTCTCCCGATCCCCGCGAATAGCAGACGCAGTCATCGCCACGATCGGCACGTCCTGGAGCCATGTCGCGACAGGGGAGCCCGGGCTCTGTAGGGTCTGAGAGAGTTGCAGGATGTCCTTGTCCACGTTTGCGTGGCGGTTCGGGGCGCAGGGATATGAGTAGAGTTTCCCCGAGCGGATGATTCTGGTGGCGCTGTAGCCGTCGAGTTCTGGCATTTGGACGTCCATTAGAATTATGTCGGGGCGTCTGGGGCATAGGGGGGTGGAGGTTGTGGAGGAGAGGGAGGTGGTGATGTCGCCGTTTGGTGCGGCTTCTTTGAGGAACTCGAGGGCTTCTAGGCCGTTTGAGACCGCCGAGACGGAGAAGTTTAGTTTTTTGATTAAGCGGATGGCAATTTGTTGGTTTATGTCGTCTTTTTGGAAGCACTACAGTCAGTCCCTACTCTAAGACAAAGCTGTACTGGCTGAGTGAGGAGGGGAGATGCGTACTATCTTCAACAACCAGCACATGGGTTCTCTTCCTCTCTTCCGCACTCTCAGGGGACGGTCCCAGCGGTGGAGTAAGCCTTTTCAGCAATTTCTGCGAATTGCTGGAGGATCTTGCCCTCTGCTTGATTGCTGGATCGATAGGACTTTCGGGGGGAGTCGAGACGCCGTAATCTGAAGATTGGCAAGACACAGATAAGTCTGACTGCAGCCTATCTGGCAACGTGCTGACATCAGGCGGATACACCAAACCATTTTGATACTGGGGTCTGTGAAATGGTATGATAAAGTGGGCTGTTGTTCCAGCACCAAGACTGGACGCAAGGCCAATAGAGCCGCCCATAAGGTCGACGAGCTACAGAGGTGTTAGACCTGAAAAAACAGAGAGCTTTAGAACCAAATGAAAACACATTTTTACTAATAGTCAGCCCTAGCCCGGTACCTCCAAACCGTCTTGCAGTGGACGAATCAGCCTGCGTAAAGGGCTGGAATAACTTCTGCTGAACATCCTCGTCGATGCCTATGCCAGAATCTTTGACGACGAACTTGACGACAATTACGTCCTCGTCTTCCTTCTCGACGCCGACAGCCAGCTTGACGAATCCTTCGTGAGTGAACTTGATACTATTTGTGAGTAAATTGGTTAAAATCTGTCTCACCCGACCGGGATCCCCGATCACCGTCATGTTCCCGCCAAATTCGCTAAAGTCCACGGTGTGATCGAACTGCAGCCTCTTCCGCTCGGCATCCAGGGAAAGCATTTTTGTGACGTCCTGGATAACTAGCGGAAGACTAAATTGGACTTCCTCGATGTCTAGACGACCCGATTCGACCTTGGAAATATCAAGGATGTCATTTATGACAGTTAAGAGAGCGTTTGCAGAGCGTTGGATATTTTCCGCGAATTCTCGTTGCTCTTCTTCAAGTGGGGTATCCAGTAGAATTTCTGCCATTCCTACTACTCCAGTGATAGGTCTACGTTGGGTTTAGTACAGCCCATATAACCAACAAAATTGGAATTTGGAGGGGAAAGCAGACGTTCGGATCTCATGAGACATGGATGCCAAAAATTCACTCTTCAACTTACTCGCCTCCTTTGCGGCACTCTCATTCGCAACTAACACCTGATTCTCTCGTTCGCGGGCCTCCAATTCCATGCTCTTGTTATGTATCTCCGTGACATCCACACTAACACCGATGATCCCACCGATATAACTCACGTCATATTGCCCGGCGATGCCTTTCTTCCCGAGTATCGGGACGTACTTCGTCTTTAGCCACCTGCCATGTAACGCGGCCTCGGAGAACAATTCCCTCTCCCTCCCTTCAAGGACATCCTCTATCGGGGAAAGAAACTCTGTACAATCCTTGAACAGGTCGTAAATGTTACTTCCTATAACCGCTTTCGAGGCGTTTGCCGCCTCCCATATCGCTCCACCTTCTAACAGTGTGATGTGATTGCTCCGATCAATCGCCCAGAGCGTTATTTGAGAGTGCTGAAGAACCTCGCGAAGTTGAGCACGAGTGCGACGGGCAGTCTCGCGGGCTTCGACAAGATCGTGGATGTCAGTGCAGGTGCCATACCATTTGATGATTTGTTTAGACTTCGGATCACGTAGTGGTAGTGCTCTGCCGAGCATCCACCGCCAGACACCATCTCGACGTCGACACCGGTATTCTACGGTATAGTCCTGTCCTGTCGCTAAACTGTGTTGCCATTCCTTGCTTACAAGTTCCATGTCTTCCTATTAACAACCAAAGAAGTCAATCAATCTGCTATGGAGGAGGGCAGGGCCATAAGAACGAAAGAATGTAGCTAGTAATGAGCAAACAACAACATCAAATGCAAATTAAAAATAAATAAAAAACGGCAACACAATATGGGCCTAATAAAGCTAGGGGTTTACTGCAATAAATGGTAGCAGCCAACCCTGTTTTAAGGAACGCAGAGTCAGTACTCAAAAGAAAAGGATCGTACTTGATGACAACCGATAGATTTGTCTACCATTCCCAAAGATTCTTCCTTAGTGAGTCCCGTATAATCGTACCACCGCTTTGAATAATAGTCGTGATATCCATCCGGCAGGGTGGTCCATATCTGCAAATTTGCAACCTCTTGTTAACCAATCCCGGCCGACAAGAACTACGATTTTTTGAATCTCTCACAAACATACCAGCTGTGGCATACTGTCGCACATAGTCATAAACCGTAGCTCATTCGTTTCCTGCTGGGTCACCAGCTTTTCTTCGTACTCGGTTATATCCCTAAGCCAGACCAAACCGGCAATAAACTCTCCCGTTTCATCATCATATATGCCCTCCCCGCAAGTATCGAATACGATTTTATCCCCGGTGGCCGAGAACGTTCCAACCCTTTGGGGGGCAAGGACCTTCTTGCTCTTCAAGAGGCGAACAATGGGAACCTCATCCTCGGTGAGCCGCCGCGAGAAGTCCTCTGTCCAGATGTTGTACCGGCTCGCGAAAGTTCCCAATTCGGCATTCTCTGAACTCCTGTCGGTGGGTTGCAAGTCCCGTGCCGCACGGTTCGCCATCCCGATCGAGCCATCATGCCACATGGCAAAAACAGGGATTTCCATCGCGTCCAACACAGCATCTTTCATTCGCGTGATCTTCTGCAGCACAGAAGGCACGGATGAAATGTCAGATGATGCGGGGGCCCCAGAAAGTAGTAAATCCGGCACCGATGCGCCGGATTGGGGGGCCTGGCATGACCCGTCCGCGGTCGTACCCTTTGTTGTGAAGAAGGCGATTTCGGAACCGGGACTGCTCGCGTTAAATGTATTGGAAGACGGGGTCATGGAATTGAACGTAAGTGTGAAATATCTCTCCCCGCCCAGCGCCCATATAGAGACTATCATCTTCGCCTCCACCTGACGCGGCTTGCCCTCCGAAAAATCACCCAACGTTGAGAACAGGACGTCTATAGCCGCATCTCGTATCAGAGTCTGTGGAGCCGATGGATCTTCAGACAAGGGGGGCGTTTCTGTAGAAATATTGAGAAGGGAATTCGCATTTTGGAATCCCTCACCCCTCTCAATATCGCTCGCCAAAACGTCCAAGAATTGCTCCCAGCTCACCCACAAGGGCCACTTCCGCTGAAGAACAGCGAAATGGAGATCCCCTAAGCCCTTCCCGTAGAGTAACTCGGTTATCGAAAGCTCCGGTAATGTCCCACCGACCCTATTTGTGGACTGACCATTTGGTTCCACCCCCAGTAATCGCCCCATAGCCTCATTCGCCAAAACCACCGTTTTATCCTGTGATAGGACGAGTAGCGGGGTAGGGAGGAATTTCAGCGCTGTGAATGCTAAAGACGCACTTGACGGCGGTGGTGGATTTGAAAGGGGAGGATGCGCCGCATATTTTTGGGCAGTTGGATTATCTCTATCCGACGAGCGATACGGGAGCGCGGGGGGAGGAAGGGAGGAAGATTCATGTTCCGGATCGATGAGCAGCTTCTCCGGTTTCTCCCCACCATTTCCTCCGGGGATTTTACTGTTTGTTATCGAAGCCCGAGTGTCACTATTATTATTTGGCACCGACATCCCATCTTGCAAAGGAGGAGGAGCCATAAAGTCGCGTAGTGGGGTTGAAGAAAGTTAGATGATTTTGACCGAGTTGGCGCCTCCGCCTTCACCTCTCTCCCCCCGATAATGTTTTCGATCCTAACTCCCTCCGCTCGGTGTCGTATTTTCGCCTCCGCCCGGATGAACAATACCGGTAACTCCTAAGTGTATAAGGGGGATGATCAGTTATAATGGCAAAGTCGGAAATTCCGTGGTTGAAGTAATCGCAATGTTGAAAACCGATACCAGTTCCGTACTTTGTTGTGCCTCGGAATAAATTATCTCTCCCTCCCTCTCTCCTACTTCCCTTCTCTGACAAGCGCTCTCTTTCGAAAGGTTTTGCTGAATGGGGTAGGTAGCGAGAGGAGAGTAGCTTTTGAGGAAACTGTTTTTCTGTATGATGCTAGGAAATCCCCGGGGGGGGTTTTTTTTTTTCCAAGAGTGAGCGGTGTATGTACCGGTGTCCCTAAAAACCAAAGGTTACATAAGTAACCAGGAGCTAGGATAGTCTACAAGTTCGAATGTCGACCCCTTCCCGAATGGTTCAGAAAATGGTATGATACAAGTACAACGAGAAAAGAAAGCCCTTGCCACCACCGCTCCTCTTCTGATATCTTACCCAACACACCTCGAGACTAAGCTTCTTGCCCCTCTCTGACCCACACACTCGGACTCACTCACACAGGCGTTCAAACATGCAGCCCTTTGTTTTCCCTCTGAATGCTATGATATGATGAAAGTTCACACAGGCACACACCTATCTTCCTTTGCTTGGTCCTCCCCCTCCTCTCCCTTTCTGTCTTGTCCGTCTAGCGAGTTTAAAAGCGGGCTAGCTGCAGAATGTTAGATATGGCTGGGCGACCAGAAAAAAAGGTGCGCAGGCTCAATTAAAGCGGACTAGAGACCGTAGTCATGTGAGGTGGACACGCGAGACTGTACTCTAGTCCGCAAGTAGGACAATTGGTCGAACAGGTCAATGGAAAGCGCAAAAAGGAGGCCGTTTCTGAGAAGTTTGAGCGATCAAGAGGCGAAAGAGTGAGTGAGAATAAGGGGCGTGAGTGGGGGGTTAGTGATGGAGCGACTCGAGGGAGTGAAGGGAGTTGGATAGGGGGGTAGGAGAGGGGTTAACGATTGTTGCTGCAGCGGTGACAAAAGCGCCCAAAAAATAGCAGAAGTCAAGGAGATAGGCTAAGTGTCACGGCACTGTATACTGGAGTAATACCCCCTGATAAGGGGCTATGATGAATTGGCTGCAAGCGCGCCAGCTGATGGCTGAACGGTTGGCCATAAGAGACAAGCAGTCTGCGCCCTCCCCCCCACACCTTCTGTAAGGAAACCCGTGATGCTTTGCTCGCAGGCCACTGGGAGTTGCTTGTCCTCTTCCCTTCCTCACCTTGGGGGTTCCGTTGGACAAAGGTAAACATTCCACCGGTACTCCAAATACCCCCAATCCAAGCGGTTTCTTTAACCCCGCTTAATACAAATTTTGCCCTTCCTTGTTTAGTCGATAGAGCACCGGTACTATAGTATTAGATAGCACAATCCCTCCTCCAGTCTCGACATCAACTCTACTCCGAGAAAGAGCCCCATATGATAGTCCACAGTACTCGTACTTGAGTACTCGAGTGCTGTACCGGCATTGTGGAGGGTCGCTCCCAAGAGGAATTGGAGTCTTGGCGTATTGGCGCTAGCTAGGATGGCAATTCTAAAATCCCCTCTTCCCCTCCATACCTCAAGCCTCCATCGCATAGGGCAACCTGTATGATACAAGTGCGAGTATGGTATTTATATATGAACAACATAAGCCTGTACTCGAGCACAGTACAGTTCTCGAGTAGCTACCGGGAGGAAGGGTTGGTAGGGGAAGCGCTGCGGGTTGGGATCACCTTAGCCAAGCACAGCAGCTAGAAGTGAGAAAACGATGAACCAGACGATCGATAAAGATACTACGAGTAGCTAACAGTAGAGTAGGGGATATATAATATTTGTATCTCCAATACACTAACATCCCCTGAAACAAAACAAAACCACGCAGACCATAGCGAATGAGCAAAATGTAAGGAAGGATTCCGACAATGATAAGAGCTCCGCAGAAACTCCGGGGAATTAGAGGAATGATCCACCGTCATTCCGAACACCGCTACCCGACGCCTACTGGCATAGGATGCGAAAACAATTGCCCATGAACGCATGCCCCATAGGTAATCCAACAACCGAAATGGGCCATAAAATAGTATTTACGGGTAGTGAATTCCCTGCGATAAAAGTATCCATAATTATGATACTTAAATAACTCAAGGCGCTACTATTGGCACAATACCAACGAGCATATTAAGCTCTATCCATCCACCCCACCAGAGTCCGCCCACATTGAATCTTCACTTCCCCTCCGTGCGGGGTGACTTATTAGTGCCTACAAACACCCAGCACAGTAAGGCCACAGAACGCCCGAAATGGGAGAGGGTTTTGGGGAAAAACACCCAACACATTTTGGAGGAACCCTTGCCCCCAAGTATGACCCAAGAGGCATTGTATAATTCTCGCACATACTGTAACGTAGGACCTCTTTCCCACACAAGCAATGGTCCATTGAATGCAATGATCAGGTGTTTCAATACCTAACTCGTTGTTCGTCAATGATGTATACGCTCCATGGTTTCTCCAATATTATCTCGACCCTGGCAAGCCTTGAGTCATCTCGGAGATGTCGAGGAACTCGGAGCCTTTGGACAGCGCAAGTACTTGAGTATGGTAACTGCGATAACCACCTTATGTTATCGGTGGTCCGCTAATTGAGTTAATGTGATCTAATGCCGGTGCGACACAAGCAGCGCCAATCAGTCCCATCCTACGGTAAAATAAACGAATCAGCATTCTGCAGTATTGCATCATACTTGGACTGTGCTCGAGTAGGATTTTTTTTCCCGTATTTCCAACCAGACGCTTCAAATTGTATTTAATCCACCAGCCCAGGAAACTCATGCTGCACTTACCATGCAGTTCAGACACCCCTAATCGCACTGCCAAATGAGAGACGTGTTGCTGCGTTTTTTGTTTTTTTGTCCCCGCTTTGCTCGAAGTGCCCGGCTCCCTCCGGGCAAGGAGGAACACGCCACTACTCGTTGTGAGCTTGGCTCCGATAATCGAGCCCGCTGAGAAATGAAAGCGAATTCTGAATTCCGGACTCGGGGTTCATCGGCTGCGAAAGGGTCAAAGACTTGTTCAACTATCACGCCGCTAGGTATTGATAAGCAGCCTGACTAGGTGTTAGTCTATAGTTCCAATCGTTGACCAGCGAACATTGAGGATTCTGATCGGAGATTGCTCCTTCCAGCATTCGTTTCAACCATTCCTGATAAATGGTCCGGAAATTCTGCTTTGCCGGGGGGAACATGAAGGAATACATGTAGGGGAAATCGATAGGCGTTTACGATGTCACCAAGGCACTCAGTCGGCGCAAAAAAAAAAGAAAACTGAGCGACGCCGACCGGAAAGGACCCCTTTCGCCAGTTACTAGACCATCATACCGGTAGTCCAACTAGAGTTTGGTATGAGACGGGGTTGCAACCACCGGGCATTCCCCAGCAGGGGCGAATACTTGTCATCAAGCTACCGGTGGGCCCAACTTACAGTAATCCTCGCCCCTCTGGAAGTGAATCCTCACCACCACCCCCATCGCCGTCATACGCAGAGTGTGGCCTAAGATCTGCTTTGGCATGACCAAAACGAGATTCACCGAGAAACAGCCCTATTTTTTGTCTGACGTCTCGGAGATGAGCACCCCCTATTTATTAAAGAATCACTGCCCGGGGAAGCAGCACCCAGTGGATCTGTGGTAGCCACTTCCTATCTTTTACCCTTTCATATCGTGTCACCCATCAGGCCCGGGGGGGCGATACCTCGAAGTGTGCCTCCAAAAGACACCAGAACAGGACTGGGCTTTTAACATTCAGGTATGATGCCCGGGTAAATACCGGTAGACTAGACTATTATGAAGGCTGCGGGAAGCCACCACTCGACCCTCTCTGCCCTGCCCCAATTGCGTGAGGCTTTTAAGTTAATGCTCGAGTATGGTATGGCCTATTCTCCATCAGGCACATCTCTTGCCGTGGTGCACGATGGCAATCTAACCACGATGAGTAAGGTTGCCCGAATACCGTGAAAAGAGCTCCATAATTTCCCCACTGACGTAGGCGGCTCAGGGGGCGTGGTAATCGGGTCCCCACCAACGGAGATCCCCACCGATACCAATACCAATCGTATCTTGCACAAGAAAGAAATCGAGGGAAAAAAACGAGAGAGAAGGCCGGTATTTCCCCCGAAGATCCATCGCGGATAATCCACACGAGCCAGAGCACACCACCGACCGCTGAAACCTGAGAGGAGAAACGGAGCGGGGGAACGCTGAAGGTATTAGCCAAGGCTCGGAGGTTGAACTGTACGAGTACTAGTACAGTACGTACTGCACACGAGAAGCCGAATTCTCTTGTTTACTGCCACCAGTTATTGCTCAGTAACCATTCGTATCCAACCTATTTAAGGACTTTATCCGCACCAACAACCAAGCTATGGTAGCGACACACATCTCTCATCTAAGATTACCGGTACAATCTGCTTCCCCCTCCCGCTCCCCTGACTAATCTTACGACTATGATGCTTGCTACCGCCCTGTAGTAGGTTCCGATTCTGCGAGCAACTCGGGTAACGATATTCCTCCCCCTTCATTTTTCCATTATTGAAACTCACTCGTATTCTGTTCCGGGGATCTGGTGACTAGATTCTTGTATTGGTAAAAGAGATATATTTGCGAACACGACAATATACAAGCTACTGCACTTAATATGGTTCCTGTTATGATAAAGGGGCTTGCCTCCATAGGAACTATTAGGAAGTTTCGTAAGTATAATATCAGGTAGTGACGGGCAAGGAGCCGCAAACTGATAAAGTGTACAAGTACAGTACAGTGCCATACACTGAGGTTTCGTTTGATGCACCTATCGGAAAAC